TTGAATACTTCTATAAGGGGAGGGAATGAGCCAGAGAAGGTAAAATGGCAGGCCCCATCAGTATTCAGATAGACAAGGATTCCATTTTGTTCCCCCCTCATACCACAACCTTCTGTTTCTACCTCTCTCTTTCCAGGTAAGCAGCTTCTGGTGGAGTTGAGCTCTTTGGATTAAACATTTGGAAAGGTAGAGTCACAATTGTGCTTGGTGTTGTGTGTTTGAGAGACTCGGGTTGATAAGAGGGCCTCCAGCTAACTGGTTGACTGGAAAATTAAGCAACCTTGAAGGGGTGGCAGTGTGCTGCCTTGGTGGGGTTCTGCTAATGTGCCTCCAGGGCCTTATCTATATTTTGGTGTGGCAAAGTTGGGGCTCTGGAAATGTTTGAAAAGTGGGTTAAACTGAACAAGGATGATAAACAAAATGTGATATATACCTACAAGGGAATATTATTCAGGCTTTAAAAGGTAGGAAATTCTAACACATGCTATTAAAATTACAACATGGATATACCTTGGGGATATTATGCTAAGTGAAATAAGCCAGACACAAAAGGACAAATATTGTATGAGTCCATTTGTGTGAGGTACCCAGAGTAGACAAATTCATGGAGACAGAAAGTAGAATGGTGGTTGCCAAGGGCTGGAGGGAGAGGGGAATGGGGAAATAAATGTTGAATGGGTACAGAGTTTTAGTTTGGGAGGATAAAAAGGTTCTGGAGATGGATGGTGGTGATGGTTGCATGTCAATGCACTTAATGCCGCTAAACTGCACATTTAAAATTGGTTAAAGCGGTAAATTTCATGTTATGTATATTTTACCACACTAAAAAAAAGCATGGCGGGGGGCTTCCCTGGTGGCGCAGTGGTTGAGAGTTCGCCTGCTGATGCAGGGGACACGGGTTTGTGCCCCGGTCCGGGAAGATCCCACATGCCGCGGAGCGGTTGAGCCCGTGAGCCATGGCCGCTGAGCCTGCGCGTCCGGAGCCTGTGCTCTGCAATGGAAGAGGCCACAACAGTGAGAGGCCCACATAGCGCAAAATAAAAAGAATCGGAGCCATGTGGCAAAATGTTAACAACATGTGAATCTAGGTGAAAAGGTTTATGAGAGATCATTATACTGTTTTTTTATTATACTATTTTTGTAACTTTTCTGTTGCTCTGAAATTTTTTTCAAAATAAAAAGTTTACTTAATATTAACAGGAGGACGTTCTGTAGAGGTAAGGTATAGACCAGTTAGGATTGCTTCCACTGCAGGGATTGCAGGTACCTAGTAAGCATATAAGCCTGGTGTTAAGAAGCTAATATAGTATCATAGGCAATTATTGACTACCTTAGGCAATTTATTTTCACATTTTAATCATGTCATCACCTTTTTGTTGACTTAACTTCTTCATAAGGATGTGGAATTGACTTTTCATTTTTCTCCTCTGTTTTCCTCATATTATTTTAATTATTATGAATTTCTAGAACACTAGGGACACCCATATTTAGTATTCAAATAAAAATACAAAAAGAACAAAAAAGTTTTGTATCAACTGTTTTGCCATTTCTTTGTCACTGTTCTCCTCCATCATGGATATATAAAACCTCTGCAGTTAGACAGACTGGGTGGGTTCTCACAGATTCTGAGACATCGTGCAAATTATGTCATCTCTCTAAGCCTTAGTGTCCCCATCTGTAACCCTCAAAGAGATATGAGGCTTTTAGGTGAGAAAATGAATGTAAAACAGAGCAGAATAGGGACTTCCCTGGTGGCGCAGTGCTTGAGAATCCGCCTGCCAATGCAGGGGACATGGGTTCGTGCCCTGGTCCAGGCAGATCCCACATGCCACGGAGCAACGAAGCCCGAGAGCCACAACTACTGAGCCTGCACTCTAGAGCCCGCAAGCTACAACCACTGAAGGCCGCGCGCCTAGAGCCCGTGCTCTGCAACAAGAGTAAGCCACCGCAACGAGAAGCCCGCGCACCACAACGAAGAATAACCCCTGCTTGCCGCAACTAGAGAAGGCCTGCGTGCAGCAACAAAGACCCAACGCAGCCAAAAATAAATAAATAAATAAATAAATAAACAAACCAACAAAAAAACCCAGAGCACAATACCTGCCACATAGTATAAATGTAATACATGTTAATAATGAATTATATCATTGGTATATGACTGGGCGTGATTGTTTAGGTCCAAGTGCAACAGAAGGCAGCCTAGGGGTCAGAATAATTCTATGTTAGATATAAGTCAGTTTGTAATACTTTAATATTGCAGCTTAAAAGGGATATGTGACAGTTTATCATTAAATTTAGTACTTATCCTCAGTAAAGTTCTCTGCCACTGAGCTTCAAAACTATGAGTTCCCAGAGGAAAACCATGAAGCAAATGTAAAGATTGGTGAATAGTGTCTGTGAGGTAGGGTTAAACCATCTGAGGTTCTTTTACTTAGAGAAGTCTGTGAGGAGACCTCAGAAAAAGACTATTAAACTAAGTATGTAGCATTTATGTTCATTGTTTGATTGGTAGAATTATTGGAACAGATGACATGATCCCAGCCTTAGGAGAATTTGTCCAGGTTTTAAACTTTCCGATTAAAGACAATATGAGTGGGACTTCCCTGGTGGTCCAGTGGCTAAGACTCTGCTCCCAATGCAGGGGGTCTGGGTTCGATCCCTTGTTGGAGAACTAGATCCCGCATGCGTGCTGCAACTGAGAAGCCCACGTGCCAAAACTAAGAGCCGGCGCAGTCTAAATCAATAAATGAATATTTAAAAACGAGGATCCTAATGTAATACAAATTTAAAAATGGGATAACGAATAAGATATTTAAAAAAAAGAATTTAGGTTAGATAATTAGAAGAAAATTTTCAGGCAATGAGGTCTGTTAAACTTCAAAGTGAGTTAACATAGTGTCTGATGGAATTTTCTGACGGAATTTTCTCCTCTGGTGGGCTTTAGAGGTAGATTAGATTTCTCGGAGGTGGCCTAGGTAAAGATGCACCTGTAGATAGGCAGATATGCTGATGGTCCTTTGCAGGCTAAGAGTCAATAAAGGACTTTGGCTCACCTGACTCTAATCAGTCACAGCCTCAGTGGGTAACCATCCTGCCTGCATTTTCTGATCTTTTTGGGTAATTTAATGATTAATTTCATTATCATCCTGCTTAACAAGGAATTCACAGTTTTTCTTCACAGTTTTGTTTTGGTTTTTTTAAAGCTCTTGTTCTATTTTGTAATGGGAATGGCTCAGGCTCATTTATTTATTTTTAGTCATGCTTATTGAGGTTTAATTTACCTTTTAGTATATAGTTTTATAAGTTTTGACAAACATACAGTTGTTTGTCAAATGAGCAAGAAAGCCTGCTTATTTATGTCTTGCTTGGTGATGGGAAATGCAGTAGCAGGACAGAGAAGGGAAAAATATAGTGACTTTGGGGAATTTTTATGGTAATCAAGGTCAAGATTTGTCACATCAGGACCTGATTGTTGGTGTCCTCTCACATCGAGCAGATGAATTCACTTTGTCTACCGAGTGTAGTCAATATTGACCTTACCTGTTTTTTTCAGGATTAAATTTATTTGGTCACTGGTATTCTGTAGCATTGGTGGGGGGGGGAAGAGAGGAATCAATTATAAATGATTTCAAGATTAAGAAGTGGGATGTGTCTCTGTGTTCTCCATTCCACTTATTGCTCCACTCATAAAACATTCTGGGGACCCTAATTATATTCTAGTTATAGCAACAATAGATTCTAGATTTTTCAGGAAAGTTTCATTTCAAAGATTCTGTCCTTTTGTTCCCATAAGTAACATATACTGAGATGACATGCTTTGATAGGGAGAACATTCGTTGGTAGGAAGCTCCACTTCAGCTTAGCCTATATCAGGTATTGAATTGGGTATTTACAGAATTGGAGAATCATGGTTGGGCTGTGCTTAAGTCATTCTGAGGCTGGGGTAGAGAGAGAAAATTACTTCCTATTGAATGCCTACTATGTATATGCCTGGCAGTGTGCTAGGTGCTTTCCCTATTGACAGCTGCTCTGGCTAGAATTCCATCCCAGATCCAACCACCACTTAAAAACAAAAATCAACACCCCCTGAAAAAAACCCAGAAACAAAACCATATTCCTCATGGAGCCTCTTTCATTAATACAAGTCACAGCTGCCACACCCTCCATAAGACTCCGGCACCATAATTAGGATAATAGACTCTCAAGGCTTCGAGGGACCTTTGAGGTCATCTAGTTAAAGGGGCGGCAGCTGTTCTCTTCACCACCGAGTCTGACAGTTACTGTGCTCAATTGTCTCAACCGGACGTGCAAAACATGTCTCGGTCTATGGTCTCTGTAGGCTGCAATTCCACAAAAGATAGGTCAAAGATAAGCAAATGTGAAGCTTGAACTACGACGTTTCAGACTGGAAAGGGCAATGGGGAAAAATATGGCTTACCGGGGCCCTCAGACAATGTAAATGGAAAAAAAAATTTTTTTTTTTTTAAAGAACTGGCAGAGACGTAATGTGAAGCCCTTGAATTCGCGTAGAGGCCTACAAAAGGGATCCTGATTGACCCGGTAAACCCCAAAGAGTCCTCTCTCTTCAGTTTCACCAGCTCTGAAATTCTAGCCATCCTGGATCTTCTTTGCCCTTTTATTAGAAAGCCGGGAAACCCTCTCCTTTTCCACGCAAGAGGGTGAGAGAGGGGCCTTATGATGCATGAACGATAGAAAATTGGTCTTTTCTCTTATGTCTGACTAGTGGTACAAACAACCGTCCTGGAGGCAGGGGAATATATTTCACGCCCTCTCAAGGTCCCTTCGGTTCAAGGATACTGTCATTCTCCGGCTGTATTAGAGGGACGGCCTGCAACGTCCAGGCTGCCATGGAAACACGCCGCCGTGTTCCTTTTTCTTACGTGGGGCGGGGCACTCCGCCCAGCCACCAATCATCCACAGGTTTTCTTGAGTGGCGGGCAGCAACAGCGAATGGGCGAGCCGATACCGCGTGACGCGACGGGAAAGGGGGAGTTCGCGGCCCGTGGCGGCGGTGGCTACAGCGTCGACCTGGGGATCGAGCTGGAGGGACCTCGGGAGCGAGCGGAGATCTCTAGCTGGAGCGCGAGGGACCTCCCGCCGGGATGCCTGGTACTGTTTCGAGAAAAGTGGGGGAGTAGTAGGCTCTGAAGGCTTGGGTTTCGGGTCTGAAGGGGATGGCCGACCGGAGGGGGCGGGGTGGCAAGCATGGCGGCGGTGACAGGGAAAGGGTTGGAGGGCCCTGAGGAGGGGGTGGGGTAGCCCTAGCTGGAAAGGCTGGGTGGTCGTGAGGAAGCGTGAAGACCTGTGGGGGTTAAAACGAGCAGAGATTACAAAGAAGCCTTTTGCGGGGTGGTAGAGGCTCCAGAAGGACGTAGGGAGAGTTGTGGGGGATGGAAAAAGGGGCGGGGAGAGAAGAGGTTAGGAAGGAGGGGAAAGGGTGTCTACGGGAAGGTGATGGAAGGGGGAGAGAAGGATAGGCAGGCTGATTGTAAATAACGAGGAAATCGGGCCTTGGAAGGTATGATAGGAAAGTGATTGCAGCGATTATAATGTTCTAATTGGAAGAGTCCTACACTGGTCCCCTTTTCCAGGTCTTGTACTTCTGCCTCGTTTTTTAAGCTCAGACTGCATGAGGAAGGCTAGTAGGTTACACAGAACTGATCTTTTGTTATTCCATTCCAGGGGAGCAGATGGACCCCACTGGAAGTCAGTTGGAGTCAGATTTCTCTCAGCAAGACACTCCTTGCCTGATCATTGAAGATTCTCAGCCTGAAAGCCAGGTTCTAGACGATGATTCTGGTTCTCGCTTCAGTATGCTATCTCGACACCTTCCTAATCTACAGACGCACAAAGAGAACCCTGTGTTGGTGAGTGATAGGTTGCTTGGAAATGATTGAGTAGATTTTTTTTTTTCCCCTAATCTAGACCAAGCTGCAAAGTAAGTACTTAGGAGATCACTATCTTTTGGATAAAGTTGGCTGGAAAATAAAATCATTTTCACAAAAATATGTATCATTTTGGATTACTTCATATATAGTATATTATGAAATGTATATTTCATATTATGTACATATGTATGTATACATTATGAATGTATATTTTGTATGTATATTTTCTGGGATGTATATTATATATGTATATTTTCTAGGATGTTGTGTCCAATAGTGAACAAACAGCTGGAGAAGAACAAGGAGACAGTAATAGTGGCTTCAATGAACAACTGAAAGAAAACAAAGCTGCAGGTGAGGTCCATTTTGCAAGGGTGCTCTTGTTGGAGCTGGGTGGATATAAACATTATGTGGTTGTGGTGAATGTATGTAAGGAAGTCTGGCATAGTATCTGGTGCACAATACTCAAAAGGTTGGTTTTCTAATGTAGCTGATTAGATTGGTATTGTCTGCATTCTTGAATTTGTATTACAGTTTGGTGGTAAATGCCTTTTCTGCTAATATCCACTTATTTTTTTCAGAGTCTGTGGATTCTTCTCATTTGGACACATGTGGTTCCATCAGTCAGGTCATTGAACAGTTACCTCAGCCAAATAGGACAAGCAGGTATACTAGTGTTTGAAGGAATTTATTTAAATGTATTAGTGGATCAGTTTTTTTTATCTGTACCTGTTGTCTCATTCCAAGGATAAAAGGATTAATCTTATTTTTGTGAATTAGGGAGTGGGATTTGAGAATTGTATTAACTAGCATTCTGTTGGTACTGATAGCTGGAATCTCTTTTGTGAGGTGGTAACATTTTTTTGCACCTACATTATTCAGATTGTGATCTACCTTGTGCATTTGAAACAAGCATTCCTTATTCTTAGCTTGGATATGACTTATTACTAGAAAAAATAATCAAAAAATATTTAGGTATATTATCAAAACAGTTAAGCATGGTTTCTACCTACCAACCAAAGAACCTCGCCAGTTTTAGACCCAGAATGTTTAATTCATACCCTAAACTGTATTCAGTTTTTACTTTGTCTCCTGTATATCTTTACATTGTCCATTTATTGAGTTTATCCTCTATGTTGGGCACTACATGGGATGTTTGATATATACTGCCATTTAATTTCATCCTTAAAGCAGTTGTACGATGAACACATTATGTTACTTCCCTTACTTAGGTGGGGAAGTGTTAGGCAAAGAAGTTAAAAACCTTGCTCTAGAATGCATTGCTAGTAAGTGACAGAGCTGGGCTTTGAGTCCTTCTGACTCAGGTGCCTCTCTTTCTTTTTTACTATTCAATACCCAAATTCTCATAAGATCAAAGGAGAACGTAGGAGTCTTGGGGTGGTGGAATAGAAAAGGGAGGTAGTCAGAGAGGTGGATGTTAGTATGAGGTGAAAGACTAGGGTTTTATCTCAAAAATAAGTGCTTTTTTGTGTGTGTATGTTTGTGTTCTATTTAATACTCTGTGTTTGCACTTAAATTTTTTCTCTCAAATCATCAGTTGGATGCTTTAGAACAATCCCCAAATTGGTGGACTTATTTTGGCCCTCAGGTGGGTTCTGGTTGGCCCACACATAGTTGTAAAATATATTTGAATTAGTTGATAGAATTTAAAAATAGGGAAATTTCACATAGAACTTAGATTTCCAGCTTCTGGGATTACTAGGCCGGAAGTAATGCAACTGTTGTATTATTGGCAGCAGTTGGCGGGAGCTGTGAGCAGCCAGCCTCTGCTTAGATAGGGCATGAGTGCTATGGTCTGTCATAGTGCCTGTAACTCACTGTTGTATTTGGACACTGAGGCCAGGTATTCTTTTTTCATTTATCCTAGGGCTTGTGCTTTTGTTCTTAAACCCAGCCACTTAACTCATTTATGTTACCTTTCTTTGCTTTTTGTAGGCATTTAAGTTTTTGTGATACGTCTTTAGGAACATGTGCCAGGCTTATCTGTGTTTTTGTGGCTCGGCATCTGAGTTTGAACCAGTGGGGACAGAATGCGTGTGTACCCCTTGTTATAAATTAATGGTACTGTTTGAGAAGTCTCATGCTACTTCTTTTCCCTTTTTGCATCAAGGTGTTGCTCTTTCCTTAAAAAAAATACTTGAATGCTTACATTTAGTAAACGTGCAGGCACTGTGGTAGGTGTTTTAAAGCATGTTTGCCATTACGGAGCTTACAATTTAATAGGGGAAGCAGATGTTAAATAATTACATAAATAGCTATTCAGTGAGAACTGTGATCATTGTAAAGAGGAAAAAAATAATATATAACCTAACATGGGGGATAAGGGAAAACCTCTTTGAGAAGGATGATCTAAACTATAAATACAAATTTGTTAGGCATAGTTGAAGGGCTGGGGAGAAGTGTGGCATGTGGGAGGAGGAGCTTTCCAAACACAGGGAGCAGCATGTGTAAAGGCCACGAAAACCGCAGAGAATGTGGGGTTGATTCCAAAAGGGGTTGACTTCAAAGCACATGTATACTGATCTCTTTATGTTGTCTTTATTTATTAATGCAGATATTTTGAAAAAGGCTGTTTGTGAACTTTTATATATCATAAAATTCCAAAAGATCTTCCTCTCTTATCTAATGTCCTGTTGTGATGTAAGCCTGTGGTCCTAAACATGAAGTGTCCTAAAATATGATGCTGAGGATATTTTTATTTCCCTGTTAAACATTTAAGAAAATTGAGGTGATTGTAGATTCACATGCATTTGTAAAAAATAATAGAGAGAGATTCTTTGTGTACTTTTCCCAGTTTCCCCCAATGGTACCACTTTGCAAAACTATAGTATACTTTCACAACCAGAATATTAACATTGATAAAATCCAATGAACTTATTCACATTTCCCTAGTTTTACTTGTACTCGTGTGTGTATTAATTTTTATACAGCTTAATCACCTGTGTAGGTTTATCCACCACTGAGGTCAAAATGCCGAACAGGAGCTCCAGTGTTGCCCTTTTATGAACACACCCACCTCCCTCTCCTGCACATGAACCTCTGGCAACCGCTAATTAAGACCATCCTCTGGGGAATTCCCTGGTGGTCCAGTGGGTAGGACTCTGTGCTTTCACTGCTGAGGGTGTGGGTTCGATCCCTGGGTGGGGAACTAAGATCCAGGAAGCCGTGCAGTGGGACCAAAAAAAAAAGATCATTCTCCACTGGTAAAGTTTTGTCATTCAAAATGTTATATAAATAGGATCATACAGTATATAATCTTTGGGGATTGGCTTTTTTCAATTAGCATAAGTCCCAGGAGATCCATCTGAGTTGTTGGATGTATCAGTGGTTTGTTCCTTCTTATTGCTGAGTAGTGTTCCATGGTATGGATGTACCACAATTTGTTGAACCATTTGCCTGTTGAAGGAAATCTGGGTTGATTCTAGATTTTGGCTAATGTAAATAAAGCTGCTATGAACATTTGCATACAGGTTTTTGTAAGTCTTCGTATCTCTAGGATAAATGGCCAGGTGGGCAATTGCTGGGTCATATGGTAGTTGCCTGTTCAGTTTTTTTAAGAAACTGCTGAACTGTTTTCTAGAGTGGCTGTATCGTTTTACAGTCCCACTAGCAGTGTATGAGACATCCAATTTCTCTCCATTCTCACCAGCATTTGGTGTTGTCACTATTTTTTATTTTAGCCATTCTGATAAGTGTGTGATGATATCTCACTGAGGTTTTAATTTGCATTTCCCTAATGGCTAATGATGTTGAACATCTTTTCATGTGCTTCTCTGCCATCTGTACATCCTCTTCAAGGAAATGTCTGTTTATGTCTTTTGCCTATTTTCTAACTGGATTTTTTTTATTGTGTTTTGAGACTTCTTTATATATTCTATATATTAGTCCTTTGTAGCATATGTGGTTTGCAGATATTTTTCTCCTACTCTGTAGCTTGTCTTTTCATCCTGTTAAGAGGCTTTTTCCATAGAGCATGTTTTTAATTTTGATGAGGTCTGTTAATTTTTTTTTTTTTTTTTTGCGGTACACGGGCTTCTCACTGTTGTGGCCTCTCCCGTTGCAAAGCACAGGCTCCGGATGCACAGGCTCCACGGCCATGGCTCACGGGCCCAGCCGCTCCGCGGCATGTGGGATCTTCCCAGACCGGGGCATGAACCCATGTCCCCTGCATCGGCAGGCGGACTCTCAACCACTGCGCCACCAGGGAAGCCCTGTTAAATATTTTTAAGAGTGATATAAATACATAATTTATTTTAAAAAGAACTTATGAAAAGCAAATAGTCCATTCCCACCATTGGTCCCCTTTCACAGAGGTAATGCTTTTTAAGTGTTTGTGCTTTTATTTCTTTGGGAGGTTATCTTCCTAGCTCTTAATACTGTTGTAAAACTAAGTAACACTGTTGTATTACCATTTCTTGTTTTATCAAATTAAGACACTTGAGTTCCATAATGAAAGATGAGGTTTTAACTCACAACAACATTCTCCTAATTTTTGATGATAATTGTTTTATTTCTTTCATTGGCTACTTCTGTATTTTTAAATAATATATTTAAACCTTTGTTTTCTTTTTCCATCAGTTTTGGATAGTGGAGAAAAGTTTAATATCAGTACTACTTTTTGTTTATAATTGGATTAATTTCAAGCCTCTTCTGATTCACCTGATCATTCTAATTAAATATTTATTGAGTATTTCCTATATGCAAAGCACTGTTGAGTTTTGGGGATGCAAAGTGATCAGAAGAGATAAGAAACCCTAGACCTTAATGGAGCTTACATTCTGGTATGGGATGTAGCAATACATGATAGATAAGTAAAAATATATAGTATCTTAGACTCTGATAGGGCTGAAGAGAAAAATAAAGCAGAGAAGGGGATGGGAAACATCAAAGGAATTGCAAGTTTAGGTAGGGTGACTTAGGGGATGCTTTAGTGATGTGACATTTGACTAAAAATCTTAAGTAAGTGATCTCTACTATTATTTGGGATAAATGTAATCCATGCATAGAGAACAGCAAATGCAAAAGCCCTGAGAGAAGCATGTGCCTGGAATACTTGAGAAATGACAAGGAGGTTAGTGTGGCTGGCGTGGAGTGCTTGAGAGGAGTGGGAGAAGAGGTCAGGGAAGTAAAGAGGGAACCAGAATATATAAAGCTTTATGGATCATTGTGAGGAATTTGGCTGTTACTCTTAGGAAAGTATTTAACGGTTTTGAGCAGAGGAATGACATGATCTGACTTAGATTTAAACAGGATCACTCTGGCCGCTGGATCAAGAATAGACTGAAGAGTATACAATTTTTATTTGTCCATTATACCTCGATAAAGCTGGGAAAAATAAAAATTAAAAAAAAAAGCTCTTCAGATTAAATTTAAAAAAGAATAGTCTGAAGGGAGAGCAAGGGTAGAGTCAGGAAGACCTACTAGGAGACTACTGAAATAATTTAGGCAAAATGTGACAGTGGCTAGACCAGAGTAGAAGTGGATGAGGAGTGGTGAGATTCTGGGTTTTTGAAAATATGATTCAAAGATAGATTGGATGTGAAGTATGCAAGAGATGAAGGAGGTAACAGTGATTCCATGTTTTTCATTTGGGAACTAGAAGAATGGAGTTTCTGTTAATTGAGATGAGAAGACTGCAGGGGAAGTTCAGTTATAGACCTGTTACAGTTGAGCTGCCTTTTCAATTGCCAGTTGGAGGCAGTTGACAATGTGAATGTCTGGAGAAGGTCTAAGCTGGAGATTTAAAATTCCAGAGTCATAAGCATATGGATGATGTTCAAAGCCATGAGTCTGGATAAGATCACTAAGGGGGTGAGTTGTAGGTGAAGAAGAGGTCCAAGGACTCACTGTGCCTACGAGCGTTAGGAACTTGAAGAAAACCACCAAAAGAGACTGAGGAAGATCCAAGGTGTGTGGTTTGTGCTGTCTTTCATTTGCTCTTCTACTTTTTGTCATACACACTCTTGACTTTCTTTCCCTATGTTTCCTGAGGTCAGGCATCTGGTCCTCCCAGTTGTGTAGGTAACATTCTATTTTATTTTTGTGGAAGTCTTTATTCAGTCCTTTTTTCTCTTCCTTGGATCATGGTCCCCAACTTTGCAAATTTATGTTTTCTTCTCTTTTATGCTTATTAAACTTATGCTTAATGGTCTTTATATGAAATGTTACAGGAGGCAAAAATGTCATCTATAATTCTGCCACCCAGAGGCTAATTGCTGTAAACATTTTGGCTTATTTTCCCTGTTGTTTTTTGTTGTTGTTGTGCATTTGATATACATAGTTGACACATGGGAAGTAAAAGTTCGTGTGTTTCTTGACCTTTTTGCTTAACAACATGAGCAGTTAATTTCCCCTGCAATTAAAACTCTAAATAACATTTGCCCCTAGTTTTTTATTTTAAAAGTTTAAACCCACAGTAGAGATGAAAAGGTACTATGCATTTTTCAAAAGATACTATGCATTTTTCTGTGTGTGTGTGTAAAATATACTGTTTTGAAACAAAGTTGCAGAAATCATAGTTCCCCTCAAATACTTTAGCATTCATCCCCTAAGAAAAATATTATCCTATATTATCATAATACCCTTATCACACCTAAGAAAATATCGATTCTGTAAAACCTAGTAATAAGTGCATATTCAGATTTTCCAGGTTGTCTCAAAGATGGCTTTATTTTATATATATATATATATATATTTTATCCAGTATCCAATCCAGATTATGGTTTACATGTTGTATTTGGTTGTTTTGAACATTTTTAATGGCTGCATAAATTTCATTTTATGGATTATGAAATTAGTTAATCATTTACCTACTGTTGGGCTTACAGTAGGTTGTTAGTCACAGTGAACTTCGAAAGTAAGTTTGTATCAGGATCTTTTCATATTTCAAATTATTTTTTACAGTTGAAATTACTAGGTATGAACATTTTTTAGAGCTCTTGATACATATTTCCCAGTTGTTCTGCAGAAAGGTTCTATTAGTTTATACTCTCATAAACAGTATGTGATAATGCTAATCTCACCTCAGGTTTGGGCAGCACTGAATAGTAGTACAGTATTTACAGTTTTTCTTTTCTAATTTGATTGGCAACAAATGGTTTCTCTGATATCTTACCTTTTTTTTTTTTTTCGCGGTACGCGGGCCTCTCACTGTTGTGGCCTCTCCCGTTGCGGAGCACAGGCTCCAGACGCGCAGGCTCAGCGGCTATGGCTCACGGGCCCAGCCGCTCTGCGGCATGTGGGATCTTCCCAGACTGGGGCCCCAACCCGTGTCCCCTGCATCAGCAGGCGGACTCTCAACCACTGCACCACCAGGGAAGCCCTGATTTCTTACATGTTTAAAGATACTTGTATTTCTTTTTTTTGTGAGCTGTCTTTTCTGTTGTTTGTCCATTCATATCTTGAGCTTCTTACGAGTTCCTTGTATATTATGGAGACTATTTTGTTATATTGTTGCAGATATTTTTTCCTAATTGTTATGTGTGTTTTACTTTTGTTTATCGTTTTTTGACCTGTGATGTCTTCTTTTCAATACACAGATGTCTTACCTGAATTTTTTTCAGCCACTGTGGTTCTATGTTATGTATTCTAAGAATTTTTACTAAAATTCTTTTGTGAACTGTGTTCTATTAAATAGATGTTTTTTTTTTTTTTTGGCACTACGCGGGCCTCTCACGGTTATGGCCTCTCCTGTTGCGGAGCACAGGCTCTGGACACGTGGCCATGTCTCAACGGGCCTAGCCGCTCCGCAGCATGTGGGATCCTCCCGGACTGGGGCACGAACCCGTGTCCCCTGCATCGGCAGGCGGACTCTCAACCACTGCGCCACCAGGGAAGCCCAATAGATGTATTTTTGAGCCCCTTCTCTGCACATCTAATGCACATCTTCTCTTGTCACTTGTCAGTAATTCTCTTGAGTGCAAGATTTTTCTATCCCTGCTCAGATTTTTTCAGAGAAAGATAAAAATCAAGTATGTTTGTTTCTTCCTCTGTCTCTTATTTGTATTACTTAATTCTGTACTACAGTGTTTTGAGTTGTTAACCTTTTAGGTGCCTTTTGTAGAAAGAAGCAATAATGGGGTGAGGTTTTTTACTTTTTCAAATTTGCTTAAAACGTGGTTGGTGTGTGGGGAGTCACAATAAAATTTAAAGAGTTCTTTGAGCAAAATATCCCGGCCTATCTGTGAACACATGATTGTGTCTTTTTGCTGTATAGTGTTTTGGGAATGTCAGTGGAATCTGCTCCTCCTGTGGGTGAAGAGAAGGAAGAAGAGGTGGAAGAGAAGGAGAAAAAGGAAAAAGAAGGAGATATTTCAGACGATACCACACACTCCCTTGGTGCTGAAGGTAGCTTTATGCCTTTTTCAGGATAGTAGATTGGTCTAACCCCTTTAACATGAGCATGCAGATGTCTAAATTTCTCCCTTTTATCAGGTTATAGATTTCTTATCATTAAATTGAGAATAGTCGTTAGGAAATTTGCTGGTAGCCTAAGATAATCCACCTAATTTGGTGTTCAGGAATTTTTAGCTCATTTTTTAGCCCCCTTTCTGCATACTGACTCCTACTTCTTTTGTATTCATTTGTTTTTCAAATATTTTGGGGATGCATGCCTTGTGGGGTGGAATTACAATATGAAGTACAGTGCTCTCTGCGTGTGTGCGCGCGGCTTATGTATTTCTTTAGAAAGTAGAAATAGTCTACCTTTATTAGGTGCTTGTAAGGTTTTATGGTACACAGTTTTTGCTTCATTATGCATTTTCCCCCTTTGCTTTTAGTGCTTCTATTCTTAATTTTATTTTGAAAAAATTTGGGGTGCAGGGCTTTGATGTGAAAGACTTAATATGACCTTCTTTTGCTAAAGGGCAGCACCTTGCATAGTACATAATGTTGTGGGATGATACCTGATTTCTTGGGGTTTTCTTCCTAGATCCTGCCTCATCACAGCTGGGCTTTGGGGTTCTAGAACTTTCCCAGAGCCAGGATGTTGAGGAACAAACTCTGCCACGTGAAGCAGACAATCTACAGTCAGTAACCACCAACTCTGCTTATACTAGGCTATCTGATGTGGATGCTAATATTGGTACGTAACATGTTTTCTGGCATTTAGAGTTTGTTTATAAGTATTTTCCTCCCATGCTAGAGCTAGTTGTTTTTTCCTTGATATATCTTATAGCTATCTAAGTTAATATAATCAAAGTTAGTATAGTAAGGTTGTAGAGTTGTCTGGCGAGTACTTGTCAGTTGATGGCTTGCATACTAAGGTTTTTTGTAAGTGGGTAATTGGTTATTTTCCTTTCTGGAATGATGCCTGTATATATTTTCAGTTTGTATTTCTTTCTTTAATATCTTTGCCTTTTAAAAAGCATTTGGGACTACTTTTAGTACTTTGAAAAATTAAATATTTCCTTCCTGTCTTCTTCTAAAACTTTAAGCAATTAAGCATGAAGAACAGTCTAATGAAGGTATCCCCATGGCAGCACAGCCCAGTAAGGATATCCCTGTGGCACCACAGCCCAGTAAGGATGTATCTGTGGTAGAAGAGCAAAACTCACCACCTGCAAGGTAAACCAAGTTCTTTCTAGAAAGTATTTTTGGGTTTCTGCTATCAGGTTACACTCATTTCACTTGGCCAGGTGGAAACTTTTTTAGAAATTCTTGATTTTTTTTTCCCCCCTTGCCTGGGCATATTTATGGTCCAGTAGAAACATTTATTGTTTATGAATTCTCATTGTGTCATCTTATCTTTAGGCATATTACAAGTCCAATTTATTGCTGCTTTAACTGTAAGGATGATCCCTTAATCTTTGGTTGTTACTCCTCCTCTCTGTTCTTTGTCTGCAGAGGCACTATCTCTCTGTGGTCTGTCTTTCTAAATTCTCTAGTGTTGTAAGAGTCAAAAGAATATTATATTTGAAAGTCTACTGTTTTTATACTTGAGGAGCACCCAGATTGCTTTGGGTCCTCAGGTATCCTGCGTCTGGTAGCTTATGGCATAGATAAATAGGGAGGTATTCTTTTCCCATGTCTTTCAGGCTCTTAACTTGGTGGGAATTGGGCAGTATACCTCTGTTCTGCCTATGGTGATTGTTGTATCCAAAACAGCATTGTCTCTGGTCAATACCTCAAGTTTAGATATGGCAGAGGACAAGTGGGATGCTTCCATTTTGGAGAAGGGAATGAGTAAACATTTAGTATTCTTTTGTTTCTTCCTTCAGTAGAAACAGTGGGGAATGGGGTACTGAACAAAGTTGAATATCAAGAGAGGTTGTCTTTCTAATGCAAAACACTCAGTTTAACATTCCGCTTTTCCTTAGGAAATTACTCTCTAGGTAGTTTTGCTATCCTGTTTACTCTGGGGAATGGTAGAGTAGGTGAACCGCCTAAGTCTCTGGAACGGAGCCAGCAGTGAGTGTCTTACATGTGTAAGTAGTATTTGTGTGAAGGAGTCTTGGTTTGGGGCTTGGGTTGAGTAGATCAGATCAAAAAGGTCAGCAGAAGATAAAGTGTGTGGCTGGTGCAGAGGAAGATTTACATCCAAGCTCTTTCTGTGGGAGGTCATTGTTCTGGCATTGTTGCCGTCTGGATCACACTGCTTCATGCACCTCTAGATAACAATGTATGAAACAAAAATCCCTAACTCACTTATCAGAAATCTTGGACAGCATGCAGCACTGCAGTGAGCAGAGTGGAAAAGAGGTATTGCTTTGTGAGAGACTGAGACACACTTTGAAATGGGCTGAGGGCTTTGCATCATTATAAAGTGTAGCTTATTTCACTTTTAATAAATAGTTTCTGGAAGTTTTGAAATTAAAAAAGGAAAACACACAAAACAGGAAATGCTTCTTTCTTCAAAGATGAAAGCCTTTGAACATGGTAACTTTTTTTCCTGGTGATATGAATTTCCTAGGTCAGAGGACATGCCTGCTAGTCCCAAAGGCTCTCTTGCTGCTGTGGAAACAAAAGAACAAATATCTGTTCAGGAACTTCTGGAAGGTGGGATGCAGATTCAGAAGTCACCAGAGCCTGAGGTTTTGTCAACTCAGGAAGACTTGTTTGACCAGAGCAATAAAACAGGTACAAAGAGTAATTCGTTGCCGTAGCTCTTCTTTTCTGAAGATCTAAACTTTTATTTCTGTTCTGAAACTACTGTTTTAAGTCAGAAGGCACTTTATAGGTGTGCAGACTTGTTTGTGGTATGGAAGGAAAGTACGTTTCTAGCTGATTGATGAGAAGGGCTTTTTGGAAATAATTGCTATTTAGCGTGTGGTAACATAATTTTCTTTCTCTTTTGGAAATGGAGATACTGAAGAATACTAGCTAATAATATGGCAGATTTAATGTTATGGAAAGAGTAGCTATTTCTGTTATCAAAAGTCTTCAAATCTTAAATATGATAATTAAGTGAAGAATTTCATGTTCACCTGGGTAACAGTCACTTATTCATCTGTTTATTAGTTCCTCTGCCACAAATAGGAAGTTATGGTCCAGCAGAAAGAATGTAATACCTTTAGAAGACTAGAATGGTATTTGTTTCACCTTTCATTAACCCCCACCAGTGCCCCATGCTGCAACCTCACAGAGCCAGAAAGCTTCAGTAACAATCAGCAAAATATGATGTATTGGTTGTAAGTAGGGAGGAAGAGAAGGTTATACTCCTGTACTATGCTGTGAATGTGTGCAGGACATACAGAGCATCACCAAGAAACCTTTTCTGGTCTCTCATTAAAGCTACAAGGTTGTATTTAAGAAATTTCTTTATTCTTGCAATTAATACAGCTGATACTTCATTTGTTGCTAAGGAGAAGGGACCAACAGGAGCCTCTTCATAGTATAAATCAGTAATGACTGCTCATATATCCTTTTACTTGTGCTTTAGTATTTTTTCTGTCTTTTGAGGAGCCCAGGTTCTAATCATGAAAATTGTTGCGTTCATATCATCAGGTGTCATGCACATCGTTTTGACTTCTCCCATCTGCATCATGGCATGAGCTTTACTTCACCTTAGGTAGACCTTGGAATAAAGGGCTCGCTTGCTGTCTTATAATAGAAACTTGACCAGAAAGAAGAGCAGCCAAGGAGAGGTTTAAGCGTCCTGGCTTTTCTTCTCCAAGCTTTAATCATGACAGAAAGGACTAAGGAGTTCTTTTTGTCAATTCTTTATTAAAGAAACCCATAATTCATTAGGGAGAGGATGTTTAATGGTCACTCAAGATTTGTGTTAGTGTGGCATTCCACTAATTGTACAGCAGTTAGAAAACAGTTTCTGCCCTCTTGGAACATGGGTGGATATATGAATATTATGCTTTTTGTACTACTGAGTGTGTTTTGTTTTTTGTTTTTTTGACAATTCAGTAATGTCAATATGAGAAGTAAATGCAACTAGAATTTTTTTTTTTTTCTCAGTAGCTTCTGATGGTTGCTGTACTCCTTCAAGGGAAGAAGGTGGGTGTTCTCTGGCTTCCACACCTGCCACCACTTTGCACCTCCTGCAGCTCTCTGGTCAGAGGTCTCTTGTTCAGGAGAGTCTTTCCACGTAAGTAAGCCTAAAATAACCCTTTCAAGGAAACATGTGCCTGATGGTTTTAGGCTAAGGTTGAAAGAGCTAAAGTTGGTAGTCCAGAAGTCTTTTTGAAACTGAAAAGTAAACTCTAGGCTTAAGAATTTTGGGGAATAAGAACTTAGTGGAATTATCGAAGGCAGGTAGATCTGCTTTCCCATTTGGAGATTTTAAAATTGTAGCCCAAAAGTTTCACCAGGAAAGAAACTGCCCAGTTATTTAGAGACTGTTACATGTCCAAAACAAGCTGCCTGCTGCTCCATTTGGCTAGCAGTTCTTCCCAGTTAATGGCATAGGGGTGCAGAAGAGGTTATGCTAGAGTTGACAGTAGTTGGATTTCTTTATCTGTATTAGGGCAAAGAGGTTGCTTTTTCTTTTTTTAATAAGAATATACATGATCTTTCTCATAATAGGCAAAAAATGGAGTAAATATTTGTCTCAAATCTGCAGATGAATTAATTTTTTTAGCACTATCTCATCCTGCTTTTCAGTCATGATGTCTTTGTGTCTGGTCATTTACTTTCTCTTGTAATCATATGACTTTTCCCTTAATCTTTTTTTTTTTTTAATTCTAATTTTGGATATGTGTGGTGTGAGAAATAGTTATTGAAGTATTGTTCATGGCTCTTCTACCAAGGTCGGTTAGCTGTTTGAGAGAAGCACTAATAAGTACTTGAATGAGTTACAGATATTTTTGCTGTTAAAAAGTAGAAAGCAAGTGCGAAGCTGTAGCTGTGGTAAAATAACCTGTGGCTCTCTCTTTGTATAAAGGAATTCCTCAGACCTTGTTGCTCCTTCCCCTGACGCCTTCCGATCTACCCCCTTTATCGTTCCTAGCAGTCCCACAGAGCAAGAAGGGAGAAAAGGTGAGCTCTCTTGATCTATCTGTTGATCTCAGGTTAGAAGAGGGGCAGCACTTCTTCTGCCTTGTGAAGTGTACTGTTCCTTTACATGTTAGAACACTGTGACCTCAACTATTCGCTAGGACTCATGTCTAAGCTTCAGGGGAGTGGCCTAGTGTTAAATGCTTTCCTCAGTTCTTTGCTCTTCTAGCACTGATTCTTCTGAGAGTTCTCTATTGACAGTTTAATTTTTGAAAAGACCCTTAAGGGAAAATTGTTCAAGTTGAACTCAAATGAATTATCAATAGTATAATGAAGACCTTTATTGCTATTGGCCTAATAGTGTCCAGCAACATGATAGCATGTTACTGGTCAGAGGGAACCAAAAATTGTTTCTTTTGCTCTTTATAGGTTATTTCTGCTATTATCAAAGCAGTTTTAGCCAAAGAGTCATTAGGAGCAGGTGGTAGAAATTTTGGCTTAATTCCCTTCCTCCTTTGAGGACCTAGTGATTTTATATTACTTTATACACAAGAAAGTTTTTCTTTTTACTTAATTTATGTCATTATCTAAACCTCTATTGCTCTCTTCTAGTCTCCTATCCAGTCATTCAAGATATTTCTAAATTTTTCCTACTTCTACAAAGCCTTTTCCAATAAATTCCATGATTTTTTTCCTTTTCATTCTTTCATATATCAGTAATGGTACAATAGCTAATATTTATTGAACACTTATTTTATGCCAGGCACTGTTCTTTTTGCTTCTCTTTCGTTCTGGGTTCTTCTGTTTGTTTCTTTTTTTGTTTGTTTTTTAAATCCTCACAACATTCCTAAGAAGTAGGTGTTACTTTTATCCCCATTTTACAGATGAGAAAATGGAGGCACAGAGAGATTTCACAACTAAGTCCACAGAGGCAGGATTTGAACTTGGGCAGCTGCCTCCAGAGCCTGTGCTCATGGGTTTTCATTTACCCATGACAAAATTTAATCTTAGACTTTCTTCTGTCACAGAGTTTGTGTCTGGCTATTTTCTCTTGAAATCAATGTAGGTATCCAAATGGACTAATATCATTCTAAGCATAACATGATTAGTGATATCTTCAGTGAAAAATAAAAGTGAATCCATTCTACAAAAAAGGCTGTTAATGCAAGTTAAGTTTGGCTTATCCTTAGAACCATTTTTTCTATCTGTAGTGTGAACACTGAAGATATATAAAAGTAATTATATTAAAAATGCTCTCTCCCTGACTGTAAACATAATTAGTACTTACTGTGGAAAGTTTGGAAAGCATATGGGAAAGTAATGAGAAGAAAATAAAAATCACCTGTGATACCACAGTCCAGATATAATTAGTATTTGGATATGTGTTTCCTTTCAGAGTGTTTTCTATGTATAAATATAAAGAAGTATGTTTACACAAGTGGGATCATGTTATGTATATGATTCAGTGTTCTTTTTTTTATGTAACATTGTATTTTCCTTTGTTAATTTTAGATTTAATGCATTTGCTTAATATGTGCATAACTATGCAACTGTGTATGGTTTTTTGTATTTTGCTGTTGTTGTCTAAGAATATTAACCTAAAGACTTTTTATATGTAGTGCTTAGAACAGTCCTTAATAAGTGCTTTGTCACGGCAATAAAGATAAAAAGGTGTAATGAAAATACTTAACACAGCTGTGGTAGGGAAATAAAGGCCTACAGCATCAGTTCCCGAACATAGCATTAGAGTGGAGTGTGCGTTTGAGGCCAAGCTAAGCAGCAAGGGTAGGTATTGAGGTGGAGGTGGGGCGGGTACCTGGTAGCATGAATGTGGATTATAGGGAAAAACTAAATGGCATAGGTACTTTGTGAGAGTGGTCTAATGGAAGCCTGTTTGGGGTCAAGCTGTAAGATAGGGGAAAAAGGGTTGATGAATCAAATACCTAGCAAGCTAGGCTGGCTCTGAGGAAGATCCTGTTAGCCTACAGGTGGGTAGGATACTATACGAAAAGCAGTGTTTTGTGTTTTGTTTGTGTTTATGTTTCCCTCCTGAGCAATTTGTCTCAGGATTAGTGTCCTGTACTCTGTTCTTTGATAAATCATTGCTGCTTGTCACTGATAGATTTTTTTTTTCCTTCTTCTCTATTTGTCCTGGCATCCACCTCTCTGCACTTAGCAGTTAATGCAAATAAAATGAGTTCATAAATATGTAGATATTTACTTAGAGTGATGAACAAGTTCACTGCCTTTCAAGGCCTGTGGTTAAATTAGGTGCCATTAATCTGGGCGTTCCTATGCAAATGTGAAAACTGAGCTATAATCAGGAAAGGGTCTGAGAGGAACCTAGTTAATTTACTATCATATGGATGGATGGGTATCCCTAGATGAACCCTATTTTAATCTATATCTGAGTATTTTAGGAGTGTGGACTTCCCTCCCCCAGGGGAATAAAGTGTTGCTAGATTTCCAGGACTCAATCTTCTATTAACCTATCAGCTTTTCTGAAAATTGTCACTGTTTTTTTTAGGGATGAAAATATCTGAATATAATTGTTATTAGTGGTATTGGAACATGAATAGTATTGATGAGTGCTTATTTCTCAATTTGTGTTTCCTATTTTAAACTAGATGAGCCAATGGATATGTCAGTGTTATCTGAAGGGGGAGAGTCTTTTCAGAAGAAACTCAAAGGTGATGAACCGGTAGGGATAGAAAACCCTCCTCTCCCACCTGAGCCCACTATATCACCACAAGCCTCAACACCGGTATCTCAGAGCACACCAGTCTTCACTCCTGGGTCACTTCCTGTTCCATCCCAGCCTGAGTTTTCTCATGTGAGTATCATAGAAAAAGTTTTTTCCTTCTAACATGTTTTTTTTTTTAAACAACTGTATTGAGGTATAATTTAGAAACCATAAAACTCACCCATTTTAAGTGTATAGTTTAGTGATATTTTAGTAAATTTACAGAATTGTGCAGCTGTTATCAGAATCTAGTTTTAGAACATTTCCAGGGTCATCTAACATCTTGATGTACTTTTTATGTTTGAATTTTGTACTATGTCTTTTTTTTTTTTAACATCTTTATTGGAGTATAATTTGTACTGTGTCTTTAACTTCTTAAAAATGTTGCTTTGAAATTGAAAGGGGGCATTAGTCATTATTCTGCCTTAACACATGAACTTCTCACTAAATCAACCCTAGGCTCTCCACCAGTTGTCAATATCTCCTTTCAAGATGTTCAGGGGCCTCAAACTTTTTCATTTTGGAGAAACCACTTTTGGAGCCTCCTGAGTTCTAATCTGTGCTATTACCTTCTATTCCTGGTATATAACTGTCACCTCCCTTTCATTGTCTTTGGAGATTGTCCTTACCTGTCTTTGTGTTGGATTCCTCTTGGGCTCCGTGTCTTCTTGCTTGGTTTACTCCCTCATTTTGATGGAGGACATTCTTTAGTAGCATACTTTCTACCCTCATACATGATTCATAGTTTGTAGGAGTATAGAATTTTAGGTTGGAAATAATTTTCCTTTAAACTTTTGAGAGCATCGCTCTACCGTCTTCAGACTTCCAGTGTTGCTGTTGAGAAGTGTGGCCAGTTTGATTTTGATCTTTAATATGTGAGCTGTTTTTTTTCCTTACTGGAATCTTGTAGATTTTTCTTTTTATCCCCAGTGTTCTGAAACTTCCAGACCCTTGGCATAGGTCTGTTTCCTTCATTGTGTTGGTAAGCCCTCTCAATCTAGAAACTCAAGCCCTTCAGTTCAGGGATATTTAATTATTTAATTTCTTCCCCTTTGTTCTTTTTTTTTCTTAATGGAGTACCTATTGTTCGGATATTCATATTCCTAGAATAGTTTTGTAATTTTATTATTTTGTGTCCTACTTTCCATCTCTCTCTCCTTTTGTTTAACTTTCTGGATGATTTCCTCAACTACTTTTTTTTAAAACTTAAAAAAACCCTCACTTTATTGAGATATAATTCACGCATCGTGTTGTTCACCCTTTTAAAGTGTATAATCTAGTGGCTTTTAGTATATTCACAAAGTTGTATAGTTATTCACCAGAGTCTAATTTTTTTTTTTTTTTTGCGGTATGCGGGCCTCTCACTGTTGTGGCCTCTCCGGTTGCGGAGCACAGGCTCCGGACGCGCAGGCTCAGCGGCCATGGCTCACGGGCCCAGCCGGTCCGTGGCATGTGGGATCTTCCCGGACCAGGGCACAAACCCGTGTCCCCTGCATCGGCAGGCGGAATCTCAACCACTGCGCCACCAGGGAAGCCCCAGAGTCTAATTTTAGAACATTTTCATCACGCTCCCCCTCCACCCCCAACAAAAGACCCCATGCTTATTAACAGTCACTCCCATTTCCCCCACCCCCAGCCCTAGTCAATCACTAGTCTACTTTGTGTCTCTATGGATTTGCCTGTTCTGGGCATTTCACATAAGTGGAATTATACAATATGTTGTCTTTGGTGACTGTTTTCTTTACTGTAATGTTTTCACAGTTCATCCACGTTCTGACATGTATCAGAACTTCATTCCTTTTTATTCTGAATAATACTGTGTATGTACATACCGCGTTTTATTCATCCATTTATCAGTTGATGGACATTTGGGTTGTTTCCCCTTCTTGGCTATTATAAATAATGCTGTGTACATTTGTGCGCAAGCTTTTGCGCGGATGTGTATTTCTATTTTTCTTGTGTATAATTAGGAGTGCAACTGCCAGGTTCAACCATTTTTTAACTTTCTCTGAGACATTAATTTCTACTCTTGGATTTTTCATTTCTATACTCTTTTTTTTCCTTGAATGTTCTCCCTTTTTAAAAAAAAATAGCATTTTGTCATTTCATGGGTATACTATCTTATCTCCTTAATGATATTAGTAATAGTTTCTGAGACGTTTTCTCCCTGCAATAGTCACTATTTCTTCAAATAGATTTTAGTTAGTTTTGTTAGTTTTGATGTTTGACTTTTAAAGAGGCTTTCCTCAAGAGTCTGATAATAATCCTTGATTTTCTGACTGCTTTAAGAGTGAAATACCAGAAAACTGATTAGAAGTTCTGAATTGGTGGTTAGTGCTTCATGTGTCTGGAATTTACTGTAGTGTGACATGCAGGGCCATTTTTGGGGTCCCCTAATGTCAGTATCTTGATTTATCTTGTCTTGTTCACGTTCCCTCCTGTCTGCCATTGCTTTAGAAGTCTGTGATGGAAGAGGACTGGGGGTGTTGAGAGGCAGGTGCAGGTTCCATTGAATATGTAAATTTTCATTTAATCTCCCTGTTTTCAGTCTGGTACTTTCTGATAACTGTGCCTCTTTTCCTCCAGTTCAGGGATGCTCTGTTTTACCCTCTCCAGGGCAGAGGAGGGTCAGGAAGAGCGAATCTGGGGATTAAACTGCTTCTTAAATAGATTTCCAGCCAGTGTTCCTCCTGTTTTTAGCACTACCCTCATCACCACTTCCAGAGTTACCTGGGCTACTGCCAAGTTCTGAATCTTTTTTGGGACATGGTAGTTCTGAGGTATAATTTGGGTTACTTCTTAGCTTTCTCCACTGCTGTCTTAGGAATTCAGTTTTCACTAGTCTGCTAGATGGATGACCACTCTTGCAAAATTTTATTGTGGTTATCTGTTCTTTGTTCTCTTTTTCTTTCTTTTTTTTTAAAAATAAATTTGTTTATTTATTTATTTATGGCTGCATTGGGTCTTAGTTGCTGCGTGCGGGCTTTCTCTAGTTGCGGTGAGCAGGGGCTACTCTTTGCGGTGCGCGAGCTTCTCATTGCGGTGGATTCTCTTGTTGCAGAGCACAGGCTCTAGGCTCACGGGCTTCAGTAGTTGTGGCTCACGGGCTCTAGAGCACAGGCTCAGTAGTTGTGGTGTATGGGCTTAGTTGTTGCGCGGCATGTGGGATCTTCCTGGACCAGGGCTCGAACCCATGTCCCCTGCATTGGCAGGCAGATTCTTAACCACTGCGCCACCAGGGAAATCCCTGTTTTCTTTTTCTTGAAAATGCATTTTAAAAAAAAATCCCTTTACCATTGCTTAGTGAGATTTTGGAAGAGAGTTAAAGAAAATGTGTGTATTAAATCCACTGTTTTTATTTGGAAGTTCCATACTTTTTTCTTTATGTATCAAACTCCTTACATGTTAGTCTTTTTTTTTCTTTTTTTTTCTTGCGGTATGCGGGCCTCTCACTGTTGTGGCCTTTCCTGTTGTGGAGCACAGGCTCTGGACGCGCAGGCTCAGTGTCCATGGCTAACGGGCCCAGCCGCTCTGCGGCACGTGGGATCTTCCTGGACCGGGGCACGAACCCATGTCCCCTGTATCGGCAGGCGGACTCTCAACCACTGCGCCACCAGGGAAGCCCACATGTTAGTCTTAATGACTCACCTTTGCACATCTGTTATTTCTTCTGTAGATTGGTTATGGAAGTCCAAGTGAACCTAATTTTGATGTTGTAATATCTATTTATTAATTTTTGTTTGCGTTGGGTCTTTGTTGCTGCACGTGGCCTTTCTCTGGTTGCGGCGAGTGGGAGTGGTGGCTTCTCTTGTTGCGCAGCATGGGCTCTAGGCGCGTGGGCTCAGTAGTTGTGGCTCGAGGGCTCTAGAGCACAGGCTCAGTAGTTGTGGCACATGGGTTTAGTTGCTCCGCGGCATGTGAGATTTTCCTGGACCAGGGCTTGAACACGTGTCCTCTGCATTGGCAGGTGGATTCTTAACCACTGTGCCACCAGGGAAGCCCCATGTATTTCTTTCTTTTTTTCCTAATATATTTGTTAATTTCATAGCCTCTTCGACCCTTCACCAGGATGTGAGGGCTGAGGAGAGGATTAGTAGAAAATAGTTTGATATTTAACACTTTCTCATTCTTGATATACATATTAATTTGGGGATGACAAGTCAGAGTATAGATGATTGTTTGTATGGCTCCTAAACTCTGTGTGTGTGAGACCAGTTTTTGACTGGTTGGATACTATGGATTTATGTCTGTTGAATCTAGACTGGTTGACTCATTGAACGAAGTCCTGACAGTTCTTCATCAGTCTTTATCCAGAGCCCTGAGGTGGTTTTTTCACTTAACTTCGTTATTCTGACTAGGCCTTCAGGGAGCCTCAGCGCTGTGGATTATTAGGGGCCAGACACTCGGAGGCTAGATCCAGGCAGTCTTAAGAAGTACAGCTTATTGATAGGCTGGTTAGCCCCTGAAGTTTTACTTTGCTGACTGAAATTATACATATATTGAAAAAATTCTGTAAAAGGTATCACGTATTTACTTTGATAACACTTAAAACATATTCAGAATGTGGACAACTGCTTAATGAATATGAGGTTTCCTTTCCTTTTTTTTTTTTTAATTTATTTAATTTATGGTTTTTTTGGCTGCACTGGGTCTTCGTTGCTGCGCACAGGCTTTCTCTAGTTGTGGCAAGCGGGGGCTACACTTTGTTGTGGTATGTGGGCTTCTCATTGCAGTGGCTTCTCTTGTTGCAGAGCATGGGCTCTAGGCACACGGGCTTCAGTAATTGTGGCACGCGGACTCAGTAGTTGTGGCTCACGGGTTCTAGAGTGCAGGCTCAGTAGTTGTGGCACACGGACTTAGCTGCTCCGCGGCATGTGGGATCTTCCCCGGCCAGGGCTCGAACCCGTGTCCCCTGCATTGGCAGGCGGATTCTTAACTACTGTGCCACCAGGGAAGTCCCTGAGGTTTCCTTTTGAAGTGATGAAAATGTTTTCATTTTCATTTCAGTAGATAGAGGTGGTGGTTGCACATTGTAAATATTCACTTTAAAGTGGTTATTTTATGAGTTTGACTTTTAAAAAGGTATTTATAATTTTATTAGCAATGTCTTAACTATAAGCCTTTGTAAAATGATTTATTTTTTACAAGAAAAGTAAATACATTTTTCTTGTAGAGTGTGTATAATATACAGATACGTGAAAATAAGATCATCAATTTTCCTGTCTCAAGTAACTGCTCATAACTTTTTTGTTTTGTTTTTCATAACTTTTTGATAATATATATTTATTAACTTAAAAAAATGAAAATTATATAAAAATGTATAGACCACAATAAAATATATATTCATATACTTTTTTAACTAAAAACTTTTCTATTTAATGCATAGCCTGAATGTTTTTCTATATTTTAAAATACTCATCTACAATTTTGTGTAATTACAAAGTATTCCATCATGTAGGTGTATCATAATTTTTAAATGAATCTCCTATCAGTGGATATTTAAGATATTTTATATTATTTCCTTTTCCAAATAATAATTTTAGTACTGAACAGCAAGCACTGTAGCTAAATCCCAGTGTATTTTCATCAAATAATTTCCTGGAACTGGAATTATTGGACTAAAGGGTATATAAAATTTCAAGGCTGTTGTCGTGTATTGCCAAATTGCCATTAGAAGTGTTGAACCAATTTAAAACCAATTTATTCAGTCATGCCTCAGAGTATATGAGCAGATTGAAATTTAAGACTATTTTTATAATCTAAAAGTGTAAACAGTAACACCAGACATTGAAATACCAGAAGTTATAGAATATACAGAATGTTTGGCAACCTATTTTGATTCCTCATTCCCTTAAAAATAGGAAATGAATGCCTTACCAGCTATGTCTAGAGCGTTACAGCATTTATGTTAGGCAAAATAACAAATTAAATTCTTACATAAAAACATATTTTAACTTTGGGTTATTTTCTTTTTTTTAAGGTATTATTTACATAAAATAAGAACGCCATTTTAAATGTATAGTTTGATCAGTTTTGGTAGTTGTATACAAATGTATAACCACCATCACCATCAAAGTACAGAACAGTTTCCTCACCCTAAAAAGTTTCTTCATAATCCTTTGCCCCCATCCACTCTTCTACCCTAGGCAAGCATTCATCTGCCTTCTGTCACTATAGTTTTATTTTTTCAAGAATTTCATATAGGTTTTCCCTGGTGGCACAGTGGATAAGAATCTGCCTGCCAATGCAGGGACACAGGTTCGATCCCTGGTCCAGGAAGATCCCACATGCTGCAGAGCAACTAAGCCCGTGTGCCACAGCTACTGAGCCTGCGCTTTAGAGCCCGCAAGCCACAACTACTGAAGCCCGCGTGCCTAGAGCCCGTGCTCCGCAACAAGAGAAGCCACTGAAATGAGAAGCCCGCGCACCACAATGAAGAGTAGCCCCCACTCACTGCAACTAGAGAAAGCCTGTGTGTAGCAACGAAGACTCAACACAGCCAAAAATTTTTTAAAAAATTTCATATGATTGGAATCAAAAGTGTATGGTGTTTTGTGTTTGAGTTCTTTAGCCTAGCATATTTTTGAGATTCGTTCATATTCTGGCAAGTTTTAATATTTTAATCCTTTTTATTGTTGAGTAGTATTCTGTAATATAGATATCCACAATTTATTTATTCACCAATTGATGAACATTTGGGTTGCTTCTAGTTTTGGGCTATTATGAATAATACTGTTGTGAACATTTGCATACTACATCTTTGTGTGGACATATGATTTTATTTCTCTTGGGTTAATTACCTACAAGTACAATTTCTGAGTCATATGGTAATATTAATGTATGTTTAACTTTAGAAGATAGTACCAAACTGTTTTCCAAAGTGGCTCTAGCTTTTGCATTGCCACCAGCAGTGTATGACAGTTTCACATCCTCACCAACAGGATGTATTCTTACTACCTTCAGCCTTCCTTGTTGGTATGTAGTGGTATCTGTTGACTAATATTATTGTAAACTTTGAATTTTACATCTTTATGAATGCTAGCATATTTTGAAATAGTGGGATGTGAAATAAGGACAGGCATACCTCATTTTATTGCACTTTGCTTTATTGTGCTTTGCAGATAATTTATTTTTTACAAATAGAAGGTTTGTGGCAATCCATCATTGTCGGATGACATTTAGCATTTTTTTAGCAATGAAGTATTTTCTAATTAAGGTATGTACATCTTTTAAAGACATAATGCTATTGCACACTTAATAGACTATAATGTAAACATAACTTCTATGTACACTGGGAAACCTAAAAATTTGTGTGACTTGCTGTATTGTGGTGGTCTGGAACTGAACCTGCAGTATCTCTGAGTTATGCCTGTATATATTCCCACTTTGTGAGAACCGAAGTGGACTGTGTAGGCATATGTTCACGTGACTCCTGTATAATTGATAGGCATATGTTCACGTGATTCCTGTATAATTGAGGGCCCATCATACAGTGTATGACATGATTTTAGTAGTGGTATACAGTTAAATTTAAGTGTCTTCCTACCTAAGTTAATACCTTTAGGTTTTTGTTTGGATTGTGCTTATTCTAGATCAATGATTCACAAGAAGATCATTAAACAGTGACTTGTGTTGATGAACAGACTGGTGATTATGGCCCTAGAGTTTTAAAATTCTTGCGTAGTTGATTTAGAAATTTTAGAATTGAAGGATTAGATATAAAAGAAATACGATTATGACAAAATGATTATTTGTGTCTTTTTGTTCTTCCCTAGGACATTTTCATTCCATCTCCAAGTTTGGAAGAACGATCAAATGATGAGAAGAAGGATAGAGGTTTGCATAGTTCATCTTTGACTGTTGAGTATTCTAAAACTTCAGAGACTGAACCAAAGAATTCCTCTGAGGATCTTGGGCTTTCTTTGACAGGGGATTCTTGTAAGTTGATGCTTTCTACAAGTGAGTATAGTCAGTCCCCAAAGATAGAAAGCTTGAGTTCTCACAGGATTGATGAAGATGGAGAAAGCACACAGATTGAGGATACTGAACCCATGTCTCCAGTTCTCAATTCTAAACTTGTTCTTGCTGAAAATGATAGTATCCTGATTAATCCAGCACAAGATGGCCAAGTAGAACTGAATCAGAATGATGATAAAACAAAGAGGGTTAACACAGAAAGCAGAGACGACATTAGTATTTTAGCTGATGGTTGCAAAGGCAGAGAAGAAACTGTGGCAGAAGACGTTTGTATTGATCTCACTTGCGATTCAGGTAGTCAGGCAGTTCCCTCTCCAGCTACTCGATCTGAGGCACTCTCTAGTGTGTTAGATCAGGAGGAAGCTATAGAACTTAAAGAACATCATCCAGAGGAGGGGTCTTCAGGGTCTGAGGTGGAAGAAATCCCTGAGACTCCTTGTGAAAGTCAAGGAGAGGAGCCCAAAGAAGAAAATATGGAGAGTGTTGCATTGCACCTTTCTCTGACTGAAACTCAGTCCCAGGGGCTGGGTCTTCCAAAGGAAGTCCCCAAACAAGAATGCCAGGAAGCTATGGAAGTTGAAACCAGTGTGATTAGTATTGATTCCCCTCAAAAGCTTCCAGTACTTGACCAAGAATTGGAACATAAGGATCAGGAAGCATGGGAAGAAGCTACTTCAGAGGACTCGAGTGTTGTCATTGTAGATGTGAAGGAACCATCTCCCAGAGTTGATGTTTCTTCTGAACCTTTAGAGGTAGTGGAAAAATGCTCAGATTCTCAGTTGTGGGAGGATGATGCTCCAGAAATAGAACCATGTGTTGAGAATAGAGCGGATACCCAAGAAGAAAAGAGTGCAGAATATGAAGGAGATCTGAAATCAGTGACTGCAGAAAAAGAACCTGTAGAGGCAGACTCTTCACAGCCTCCCTTGACTTTAGTGAGAACAGATGATGCTCCAGGACCTGGCCAGGAAATGCAGCAGACCCAACCAAAAGAGACAACAGTTAGCACATTAAGGGAAGACTCAAAAATGGCTAATACAAAGCAGCTGGACTCAGGTGTAGGGGCCCAGCCACTGGAGAAAGCCTCTGCCCATGCCTCACAAAGCTTCTGTGAAAGCTCTAGTGGTAAGTGTGATTACAAATTGTTCTGTGTTTCCAACCAAATTATAATTTGGAATGGAAGGTAGGAGAGAACCACATGCTTATTACATCAGGGCTGAAAATTAACTTGGATTTATGTTTATGAGCAACCAATAATAGTTGGGATATTTAAAATTTGGGGTTGTATTTTTCTTTTGTAGCTGTAATTATTTTTAGAATCAGAGATCAGTTGAGGTTTTTATCAGCTTTATAACTCAGGAGTAATCAACATGAATTTTCTAAGTATTTAGAAATTGTACCAATCTGGTATTTTCTACTTAGGTTCAAACCTTGTTCCATATTTTTATACTTTGAGAGTGGCTTTGTAGTACAGGGATCTTTTTTGATTACCTTACACAGTTAAATCATATTCAAAACTCTCTGGATTGTTTCTTCCTTATGGGCATTAAGTAAACTTTCTAAATTTGGTTCAACATATATACATCTTAAACCTTAAACTGGGAAAGGTGTTAGCTTGTGTTCTTTATAAAGTCAAGAATGAGAATATAGATTACTTTCTGAAATATTTCTAGAATGTCATGTATGACATTAGCTGAAAAGAATTCAAACTTTCTGAATGTCCAAAGTTAGTATAATTTAAAAACAAAACAGGAACTTCCCTGGTGGTGCAGTGGCTAAGAATCCACCTGCCAATGCAGGGGACACGGGTTCGAGCCCTGGTCCGGGAAGATCCCACATGCTGCAGAGCAACTAAGCCCGTGTGCCACAACTACTGAGTCTGCGCTCTAGAGCCTGTGAGCCACAACTACTGAAGCCCGTGTGCCTAGAGCCCATGCTCCGCAACAAGAGAAGCCATGGCAATGGGAAGGAAGCCCGCACACTGCAATAAAGGGTAGCCCTCATTTGCCACAACTAGAGAAAGCCCATGCACGGCAACAAAGACCCAGTGCAGCCATAAATCAATTGATAAGTAAACAAAGCAAACTCCAAAAACAAAAGAATAAAAACAAAATACAGACTTAAGAAAGCAAGCTTCTAAGGATATGGAAATGAGAAACAGTATTTAGGTAACACCATCGCTATCAGTATGGGTGATCATACCTTTCGGCGTTCCTGGAACAGTCCCGTTTATACTTCTTGTTTAGGAGTGATTATTAGTAGTACTTTTTTTAATCTCAAAATTTCCCCTGTTCATTAGGCTTTATATTCATGAATATTTTTTTTCCTCTTCAGAATGAGAAATGTTAGAGCTGAAAAGGAGGTTAGCCGATATTGAGTTCAGTCTCTTCTTCCTAAAGTCATGTGGCTAGTTAATGATTGAAGTGGAACTAGAACTTAGGTCTCCTGATTCCCAAGTCTATGCTTTTTCCTACTATAAAACTGTATGATATAGTTTCTCTGATTCTGTTGAGTTATGGTAAAGAACTGTCTGAATGACCTAATATTCTATATTATTGAAGATTTTTATAATTTCATTACATCTAAATACTGTTGTCAATCTAAGTCATGTTTTACAGGAAGGTTGCTTTGGTTGCTATACAGAAAGAATCGTGGGTTGGGGAAAGGGGGAGACTTCAGGCAGACAAGGTAATTGATAGGTTGTTGTAATAGTCCAGGAATGAGGCATTGAAGACCAGATAAAGGTAGTGGCAGTGCTGCCTGTATAAGAGCCAATTTTCCATTAGGTTTTAGTGATGTGTTAGATCAGTGGTGCTAAGATAACTTTTCATAAATAGTCTTCTGTAATTAACGCTTGCATATTACATTTGCGTATTATGGTTTGTCACGTAGAAGGATGTACTTAGAGATTCTATACAGATTTTCAAAAGTCTGAATGGTCGATCATAATGTGAGGGATGGTTCCTGTCAAGAGAGCAGAATAGGTGGTTGTTCCAGGAATGAAAATTATATAAAATATATCTTTGGAACGTATGATGCTTTGTGAGGTGTTTTTTTTTTTTAATTTTAGTTTCTGTATATTTTTAAAGTTCTTTATTAACTTAAAGGACTTGCTTTTTAAGGAGTTGCCGGAGAATGAATGCTTACCTATCAACCCATTTCTTTTTGCTATAACTATGGTGGAATTCTTTGCCATTTAGATAATGACGTTGAGATTCTCCACTTCTGCTTTTCACAGTTTCTTTAGCAGCGCATGTGTATTTTTCATCCTTTATTTCTGAAGTCCATTCATTTTCTCTTTTCATCCCTTCAAGTTGCTAATTCATTTTCTTTCATGTAGATGTAAGAGATGTTTTTTGTTGTTGTTTTGTGATTTTGAAGAAAAAATATCAAGGTGTGCTTGATATTAAAGATAATGAAGGGTGGAAGTGGAATGGGAAGAGATGAAAGAAGAAAAATGTGGTATAATAAGAAGTATATTTGGTCTTCATCCAGTTCCTGGCACTGAGCTCCTAAAACCCTTGTAATTTCCTAAGTGATAGGAATAAGCTTAAGCCCTTTCTGTCACACCTGAGTAATGCTATTGAGGTGATTTAGGGTGGGATCTTCCCTACATAGCCTCAGGGATGGGGCTGTTCACCAGAAAGACAAAGTGATTGGAGGGTTGGAACTTCCGGCCCCACCCACCAACCTCCTCGATGGTGGGGGTGGGGATTAAAGCTCTATAAAAACTCTTGAACAACAAAATTTGATGTTTCCTGGTTGATAAATGAGCCAGGAGGGTATCTAATCCCAGTTCTAAGGGAGACAGAAGTTCCTGCTATCAGAACCCTCTGGACCTCACCCTATGTACCTCTTCATATAGCTGTTGATCTGTGTCCTTTATAATAAACTGGTAAACGTAAGCAAATGTTTACGAGTACTATAAGTAGCTCTAGCTAATTAATGGAACGTGAGGAAAGTGTCATGGGAACCTGCAGTGTAGAGCCAGTTGCTTAGAAGCACAGGTAACAGCCCGGACTCTCACTGATGTCTTAAGTGAGGGCAGTCTTGTGGGACTGCGCCTTTAACTTGTGGGATCTGATGCTACCTCTGGGTAGATAGTGTCAGAATTGAGTTAACTTCATAGGACACCCGCTAAGTGTGTGCTGGGAATTGGAGAATTGCTTGACGATGTTGGGAAGCACATTAGACAAACTGTTTTCACAAGGAATAGTGACTGGGTATGCCAGATTATAGTTATTTTGAGCCATTCCAGGAAAGTAAGTACAAATTTTCATCTGTCAGGTTTAAGAACAGCAATCTGGAGTAATTCTTTTATTCTCCCAAACTTAGTCGTTTTATTAAAAGAGATAATTAGAAAATCAGAAAATGTGATTTTGGCAATTTGCTAATTCTGATTAGAAATTGGAACTGAGACCTAGTTAAAAAGTAAAGTTTTGTTTCTTTACAAATGTTTAATTTAATAATGACTAACCAAAATGTGTACAATGGAGATGGTCATATATGTGAGATTTACCATTGCACAGAGATTTAGATATGAACACTACCGCTGTGGCCTAGAGTGAAATGCTGGTCAGTACTGCTGAACTGTGAAACCCAAATGATTTCTGTTAGAACCAGTGAGTATTTTGAAGTCCTTTAGCCCAGTGGTCCCCAGCCTTTTTGGCACTAGGGACCGGTTTTTTGGAAGACAGTTTTTCCACAGATGGGGTGGGGGGTGGGGCAGAAGGCGGGGGTCGGGGGGTGGATAGTTCAAGCGGTAACGCAGGCGATGGGGAGCGGGCAGCGGCAGATGAAGCCTCGCTTGCCGCTGCTCACCTCCTGCTGTGCGGCCTGGTTCCTAGCAGGCCCAGTGGTTGGGGACCCCTGCTTTAGCCCATGAAATCCTTTGTCACCTCTTTGAGTAGATTGTAAATTTTAAGTATTAACATCAGATTTTAACATAGAGAATCCTACAGATTGCTAAAGCTTATAAATTAACTCCTTGGGTTAGCATTACACAAAATTAAAACGTCTAGATTTGAAACTATCCAACTTTGTATCACTGAGTATCCCCATATGTACTTACTGTCTTGAGGCTCAGACGTTTCTCTGTTCCTTTTGACCCCATGTTCCTCAGGCCTCCAAACTTTTGGGCTTCCTCTGTTTGCCTGGCCCCTGGTTGTCTGCTTTGTGTCAGTCCTGTTGATGGTTGTACAGAGAGCAGAGAAAATAGTAGGAAATTGGTTGAGAGGCCTGGTGAGGGGGCTTGGGAATGAGGCAGAATTTGGGAGCAAAGGAAAAGAATAATTGAGATATTTCTTGCAGTTCTCCTCACCTTTGCTTTTTTTATACTTCTGTTTTGGTTTCCTTTTTGTTTATCATTGTTTTGTTTTGTTTTTTGTTTTCTCCAGAAACTCCATTTCATTTTACTTTGCCTAAAGAAGGTGATGTTATTCCACCATTGACTGGTGCAACTCCACCTCTTATTGGGCATCTAAAATTGGAGCCCAAGAGACACAGTACTCCTATTGGTGAGTGATTAAAATGTAATGATGTTTAAAGCAGAATTTCTGAGATATCATTCTTTATGCCAGTGATTCTTTTATATCTCAGGAGTTGGGCCTGCCTGATAAGATTGATTTTTGTCTTAGGAAGAATAAGGTTGTGGTGTCTGATTCCATGAGTTTACTCCCAGGAGATGTTGAGCAGTGATGAGAGGAAGGAAAGAAAGGATGGAAGGAAGGAAGGAAGAATATTTATAAAGATTTTATTCTATTACTTGCAAGGCCATAGACTCTGAGTGCTAAGCAATGATATAGAGCTGTTTTATGAGGAAGAGGTAGCAGGTAGGGTAGAAGTACTGTTTATTCAGGACCTTGGCTAATCAGTCTGCTGCTTGACAGGGGAAGAAAATTTAGATCCTCCTTCCCTGAAGCAGCTGGTAGTCTTCTACATTAACCTATTTGTTTTCTCTAGTCAGTGCTGGGAGGTAACAATCATGCCGTCTGGAGTCTCCTGCTACCTATGCTTGATGCTGGCAGATGTGGGTTGGCTGAGGGCTCATGCAGCATCCTTTGTCCAGATGCAGAAGTGGAACTGAATCCTGTTGCTCTTCTTAAGACCAGGTGTCAATACTAGTGCGTAGTTGTTGATACTTGTGACAGGATCTATCCTAGGAATCCTCTTCAATCCTGCAGAGCTATGGAGCCAAACAGGCAAATTGATGACCTTGAATTGTTATTTTTCATATTTGTATTTTAGTGTTCTTTCTTCCTTCCTTCCCCCTGCCTCCCTTCTTTCAGGTATTAGCAACTATCCCGAAAGCACCATAGCAACCAGTGATGTCATGTCTGAAAGCATGGTGGAGACCAACGACCCCATGCTTGGGAATGAAAAAGGAGATTCTGGGGCTGCCCCAGAAATGGGTGATCAATTGTGTCTGAGAATGAAATTGGTCAGTCCTGAGACTGAGGCGAGTGAAGAGTCTTTGCAGTTTAGTCTGGAAAGTAAGTTTTATTTTGTGTTAATCTTGGGTAACTAGTAGCTCCACATCTTCTGGAAGTATTAATTATCTTTCTTCTAGTTTTAATGATGATACTTTTATAATTATAAATGTATTTGTAAAGTCTTATTCTCATGAATTTAATTCTTTGTTTTAGGCTAGTCACTGTTAATGTTACTGCAGATGTTCTGTTTTGTAACCTCCGTGGTACTGCTTGTATCTCTGTATTAAACTTGTGTCTATATAAACTAATTGGTTTTCATAATCAGAAGGAGTTCAGAAGTGGGTAGAAAATTTAGGATTGTGGATTCACATTGTAGGTTTATGTTAGCTATTTCCCACATTAATTGCAAGTTGTTTGGTATGGCTAGAATACAGAGAAGGTATGAGGGAATGGCTGCAAAGTCGGGACTAGGTTCTGAAAGGCCTTTTACATCATGCTGAACAGCTGAAGAATTTTAGGCAAGGGAGTAATATGATCAGATTTGCTTTTTTAAAAGGATCAGCTGAATGTTTGAAAAATTTGTGCCTTTGTTCATCATTCCTTTCCTTGCCCATTTTCTATTCTGCCTGGCAAATGCGGTCTTTAACCAGGAAGTGGGGTCATTAGTAGTGGGGATGGAGGTGAGGGGATGAATTTGAGAGATGAATAGTAGAATAGAGAGGACCTTGGGACCAATTAAATATGGAAGCAAGAGAGAGGAAAAAATATAGAATGACTTTATATCTACATTTTGTTTTCATGATAGCACTCTGAAGTAGATATCCTTATTTCCATTTTATTGGTGAGAAAACTGAGACTAAGAGAGGTTTTAAACCTGAGGTTACAGTAATTGGTAAGAGGTGGAGCTGGAGTGTGAATCAGATCCATCTGACTCTAAAGCTTATAATTCTTCCATTAGGTAGTTTGTAAAAGTGGTTTAATGGCGTTAGAAGAGGAAGAAGTTTTATAAAGGAGATTGTAAAGGAATATTCCAAGAAGAGGACTAGGAGAGTATAACGCCATGGAAGCCTAAGGGAAGGAGAGTTAAAAGAAGACAACAATGTTATATGCAGAAGTGAGGGTCTAGTAAGATATATCTGAAAATGTACACTGGACTTGGCAATTAGGATCCGTTTGGTGACTCTAGCAAGAACTACTACAGTATAGTGGTTTGGGTAGGAGCTATACTGAAGGTAATTGAGGAGTGAAGGGGAGGAGAAGAGGCAGCAAATGTATTGTACTTTTGAGAAGTTTATGTGAGAAAGGAAGAAAAAATATGGCAAGTTAGAAATACAGGACTGAAGGAGGTTTTTTTTTTTTTTTTTTTTCATTTTTAGACTGAGGGATACCTGAGCAGGTTTATAGATTGAAAGGAAATCTCCAAAAGAGAGATGTGTTAAAAATGAGACCCCTGAGAGAGAGATGGAAGGGGAGCTTTCAAAGACCACAGATAGAGTGAATGGACTTGAATAAGGATTTCTCATTCTCTGAGACCAAAGAAAAGAAATTTTAGCTAATATATTTTGAGTTCTTACTATATGCCAGGCATATATTCCATACAGGTACAGCTCATTAAATCTCATAACAAACCTGTAAAGTAGATCCTATTGTTATTCTCATTTTACAGCTAAGGAAACTGAGGCACAGACAGGTTGGGCATGTTCTCTAGAGTCACACAGCTAGTAAATAAAGTAGCCTGAATCAAAGTAGTTCCAAGAACCAGAAGTCTGGTTCTGAATTATAGTGCTATTCTGTTTCTCAGTTCTTATTGATTTGAAAATTAGAACCTCAGTAGAAATAAAGTATTTCGTGTTTCCATCCTTACTGTCATCTTCTCTGAAATCAAGTAGGACTTATCAAGAGGACTTATCAAGAGAGAGTACATGGTAGCTTTGAATCTTTAGATTTGAAATTACAATTGGGAAGACCTTAAATGGAGCTAAATGTTAAAGATGACCATATTAGTAAATTTTCCTACCTTTCCTGATAATCGGGCACCATACTCACAGTTTTCCTCATTTTATCCTCACAACAAACCTATGAGGGTTGGTCTTGCAGCTTGTGGGATCTTAGTTCCCAGACCAGGGATTGAACCCCAGGCCCACAGCAGTCAAAGTGCAGTGCAGAGTCTTAACCACCTGGACTGCCAGGGAATTCCCGTGTTGGTCCCTTTTTATCCCGATTTTATGGATGAGGAAACTGACTCAGAAGATGAAGTTTACCCCCAGGTTGGACTGCTAAGTGCTAGAGCCAGGGCCTGAACCAGGTTTCTGTATCAGCCAGTGCTCTAACCACCAAACTTCAGCTGCCTCCTTGATGGACTATTCAGATTATATTGGGTTATGACTTATTTTAGAAATGTTTAAAAATATTTGTTATTTTCTCTAAGACTGGAATGAATTGTAAATGAACAAATTTTAATCCCTAGGCATTAGTAGCATTGCTTTGAGACTATGGGATTCTCTTCAGTATGACCTTTAATTTTTGCTACGGATTCTTTCTTGAAAATGTGTTTTATTTTTCAAATATCTATCCCAAAAGCACTTTGGGAAGAACTTGAGTACCTTCTATGTATGGGTTCTTTTAAAACTGTACACTGTTTAAAATTTGTGCATGAACCTGAGACATTTTCCTACATAATCGATTTTATTAAAGTTTTTCCTTTTTAAAAAAATTTTATTGAAGTTGATTTACAATGTTGTGTTAGTTTCAGATTAATAAACGTTTTTAGAAGTTTTTTTAAATTTGTTTTAAAATTTTTAAACTAAAATTTTTTTGTTTATTAATTTTGCGTTTTTTTACTACATAATTTTTTTACTTGTATGAGAAGAGATGGATTGAGATTCAGAAGTTTCATTTTCATTTTTAAATGTTACTACTTAGTAATTCATTATATTGTATTTCTGGAGAAACTGAATAGTCTTCTGTAGGAAGTTTGAAAGAAAATTGGTAGAAGTCAGAAAGACATACATGGTGGCGCAGTGGTTGAGAGTCCGCCTGCCAATGCAGGGGACACAGGTTCGTGTCCCGGTCCGGGAGGATCCCACGTGCCGCAGAGCGGCTGGGCCCGTGAGCCATGGCCGCTGAGCCTGCGCGTCCGGAGCCTGTGCTCCGCAACGGGAGAGGCCACAGCAGTGAGAGGCCCGCGTACCGCAAAAAAAAAAAAATGATAAGTCTTTTCATGTTCACTTATTATTCTTACCCATTTCCTTTTTATTATTTGTTGCAAAATACTAGTAAAGCAGGTTTTTATTTTTCATTTTTATTATTAATTTTTTATGTCTTAGTGAAAGGAGGCCTTCAGAAGCTTCTGAAATCCAAGCATTATTTTAGAGTATCATTGGGTTTGAGCAGGTTTTTAAGAGAAGGTTTTAAGGTGTGATACTGAGTTCTGTTTCTCTTTCCTTTCTTTACTTGCTTTTGTTTTTATTCAGAGCCAGCAACTGGTGAAAGAAAAAATGGATCTACTGCTGTTGCTGAGGCTGTTACCAGGTAACCAGAGCTGGTTGCTATTTAGAGGAGTTTAATATACAAAGCCACTGGTAATGAGGGGAAGATAATTTATCAAGAGAGGAAAAACACTTAAAATGAAACTTCAGCATAAAGGGTTTAGCAGTGTGTTGAATGTAACCCTAGGCTTTCTTATTAATACTTTAATAAAGCTTTTGCTATACTTAGAATAAGATATTTAATGGTGTTTCCCTTTCTCCCTTTTGTTCATGTGGGAGTGCCATTTCTTCTTTTTCTGTGGGTGAGATTGAGATTGTTTTTGCTATTGGTGAGGAAACAGGGTTAAGGAGATAGCCATAGACCTTTTTCCTTTTACGGTCCAGCACCACTGCCTGACCCCCCCCCCCATAGCCTCAGGCCATTTTCTCTTCTGCCTGCCAAATTAGCTACAGCCTTGAAGTGTTATTTTTGCTTTGTCATGAATGCTGTAATGCTTTGAGGATGAGTATGACCCCATCCTGAGGCTCTGGTGGTAAGCTTTGCCATCTGGTGGCCGTGAGAATAGAATTGTTTCATTGGTTTCTGGCGTGAGTCATCCAGTATGAAAATACTACCAGCGGTTGTTGAAATATAAGTGAGGATTCTTAAATCAGGCTAGACAGGTACTGTACGTAAGTAAAGTGCAGGCTAGGTGCAAGAGCATGAAATGTTGACGATGATGGCCAGCTGAACGTGTGTCCCATTTAAAAGGGGGGGTTAGCCCTTGCTCATTTCCAGCCGGTCATTACCATGCACACCTACTGTTGCCAAATCTTTAAATTTGTAAAGAGAAATCAGGATTTTTAAAAATAAAATTTTCTGCTTGTCTGTAGACTAAATTTGATCCTTAGTTGGAAGTTTCTGACCCATCTGAATCCTTTGATTTGTACCAAGCTGTGTCTAGAGAGATTGGTTGTTTTCTGAGTTTTTGCATATTTAATCTGAAAGATAAGTACCTTTGAATCCTTATTCAGTTGAAGACTCTTTAATGATATGTTGAAGAAATCTCTTTGGTTTTAACAGAATTGTGTACCCGACACAACTTGTTATTAGTCTGTACATGTGCTTGCTAAGAGAGAACAGAATATGCTGCTGAAGATTCCTGGATCCTTTGGATGGACTGTAGCGATGGAAAAATAGGGGAAAAACTTGAGGCAGAGGGTTGGATTGGTGGATCATGGAATGAGATTCACTGGTATTGTTGTGAAGCAAATTTTGTATATGAGAATCTAGATTTTAAGAATCTTTGACTATTTACTTTACCATTGGGTTCACCATAAGAAATCATTTAAAGTAAGCTCTGTAGCACGTAGCACAGTTTAAATGATCACTGCTTCCTCTGCATTTAGGTGAAGCAGTACCGCTGTTTTTAAGTGTTGTCTGTAACTGGGCACTGTTCAGATTACTTGCTGCCATCTTATTTCTCTCTCACACATTTCATTATTGAAGGTTTCAAGTATATACAAAAGTAAAGAGAATAGTATAATGAACTACCATATATTCATCACCCAGTGTCAAAAATTACCAACTTATGACTAGTCTTGATTCATTTATAAATACTTCCAGCACTCTCCTCTCCACTGGATTATTTTTAAGCTAATTCTAGCATTATATCATTTTATCTGTAAATATTTCAATGCTGTCTCTAATAAAAGATAAGAATTCTTTACTTTGAACTTAACCACAGTACTACTATCATGCTTTTAAATCTGACATTGATTCCTTAATGTCATCAAATATTTGGTATTCAGATTTTTCAGATTCAGAGAAAGGATTTTATTCTCTCTGTGCCTAAAAGGATAATTTCCAGAGGTACTTTTCCTTTCAGAACTAACACAGTATATTGCTTTAATTTGTTTCTTAGTCCCCAGAAGACCATGTCTGCGTTTAGCTGTGTCTGTGAAGCCCCGCAAGAGGATGAGGCTCGAAGTCAGGATTCCCCCTCTGTACCCATCAGGCAAGCATTATTTTCATAGCATCTTTTGGGCTACATTGATTCACAAAATGGTAGCAAAATCTGGAATATACTGCTACTGTTTTGTGAACTTGAGCTTACTCTTTTATCTGAGGGACTGTGACATATTCTAGGTGGATTTATAAATAAGCTGTCAGAAATTTTATTAAATATTTTATAGATATAGATTTTTGTCTTTATCTGCCAATTCTAGCAATTTAAAATGATTCAGTCTTCATAAACTTATGAAAATATATCATTCTGTATTTCTAAGATTATTTCCTTTTACTTAGTTTGAAAATGTTTACTTTTTTAATTAACTTTATTTATTTATTTATGGCTGCGTCAGGTCTTCTTCGTTGCTGTGCGCGGGCTTTCTCTAGTTGCGGTGAGCGGGGGCTGCTCTTCATTGCTGTGCACACACTTCTCACTGCGGTAGCTTCTCTTGTTGCGGAGCACTGGGCTCTACGCGCGTGGGCTTCAGTAGTTGTGGCTCGTGGACTGTAGAGCACAGGCTCAGTAGCTGTGGTGCACAGGCTTAGTTGCTCTGTGGCATGTAGGATCTTCCCAGACCAGGGCTCGAACCTGTGTCCCCTGCATTGGCAGGCAGATTTTTAACCACTGCGCCACCAGGGAAGTGCCGAAAACGTTTACTTTTAACAGACTTTTTATTTCTCTTTAATTTCCCATATGGCAAAACTGAGGTAGATGTTCAACATCTCAAATTTAAAGTTTGCCAGACTCGATGGAATTAAAAAATTCCCATAATTTCTTTACTCCTTCATCTCTTAGAACAGCTCTGAAGTGGGAAAAAATTTTTTGAATTACAAAGTATTTCTTCTCTATTAGAAAAGTATCTTGTTTGGAATATGTGGTTCTTATATTTAGTATAGGGAAATAAGTAATGGCAATGGAATAAGTTTGTATTATCATTATGAAGTGGAATCTTTTATCTCTAGAAATCAATGATTTTGTAATTAGGGAATATAATAATGTTTTGTCAACAGGTATATTCCTAATAGTGTTATTTGCAACATAATTTATTTTTTTCTTTTTTTGTTGGCTGCACCGTGGCTTGCGGGGTCTTAGTTCCCCAACTAGGGATTGAACCCACGCCCTCGGTAATGAGAGTGCAGAGTCCTAACTATGGGGCTGCCAGGGAATTCCCTGCAACATAATTTCTGTGTTCCTTACTGATAGAAATATTTAAGAGAAACATGTCAGTGCTTTTATTGGACATTCTGATGATTAAATGTGAACTTGTTGGTATTTTTGGGAATCAGATAGCCCAGATGATATCCTCTGTTGTATCAGGAGGCTTGTTAGGCGAAATGCCACCTTGTTTTATTCCAAAAATGGTATGGTGTTGACCTAGCAATTAGGAAATTAATTGATCGCATCGTATTGCCTTCCTATTTTAAAATAGAGACTTTTTTTTTAAACATATTTATTGGAGTATAATTGCTTTACAATGGTGTGTTAGTTTCTGCTTTATAACAAAGTGAATCAGTTATACATATGTCCCCGTATCTCTTCCCTCTTGCATCTCCCTCCCTCCCACCCTCCCTATCCCACCCCTCTAGGTGGTCACAAAGCACCGAGGTGATCTCCCTGTGCTATGCAGCTGCTTCCCACTAGAGACTGTTTTAAAATAGAGAGACTAGGATGCTGGTGATTTTTGTTCAACCTTGGTAGAACAAGGGCCTGAGAATCCAGCTGTTTTTTGTTGTTGTTGGTTTTTTTTTTAATTTATTTATTTTTTATTTTTGGTTGCATTGGGTCTTCGTTGGGGTGCACGGGCTTCTCATTGCAGTGGCTTCTCTAGTTGCAGAGCACGGGCTCTAGGCGCATGGGCTTCAGTATTTGTGGCTTGCGGGCTCTAGAACACTGGCTCAGTAGTTGTGGCGCACGGGCCTAGTTGCTCTGCAGCATGTGGGATCTTCCTGGATCAGGGATTGAACCCGTGTCCCCTGCATTGGTAGGCAGATTTTTAACCACTGTGCCACCAGGGAAGCACTCCAGCTGGTTTTGATTCCAGTTCCTCCGCAGACAGACCTACACTCAAAACAGAATGGTTAGAAGTTTATTAAATATGGAGGTTTTTTCTTCCATGTTTCACTTTGGATTAATTTTACCCAGGCTTTCCCTGCTAAAATTTGCTTTCTTTGCATCAGTTTCTAAATCTGACAGAGTAGAATTGTGTAGCTGGAACTAATGAAGAAAGAGAAGTGTGGTCCTTCTTACAATTATTGAATTTCTTCTGTCTCTTTTCTGGTACTGAAGTTTCCTTCTTTATTGTTTCTTGGGAGATTAATATACCACATCTTTATGATAGATGTTTCTTGGAGGGAAGTGACTGTGATTTGAACATCATTTAGTTATTTGACTGATGCTAACCCAAGAAAGATAGATACCAAAATTCTGGTATTTGACAGGAATCTGCTGAATATTGCTGATGTTGCAATGAGATACCTTTAGTCTTTAGAGAGAGAGGAGTTCCAATTAACAGTTTGGGAGAAAAAAGCAGCCTAATATTTGTCAATTAAGAATTAAAAAGTCAAAAATAAAACAAAGAAAAAAATAAAGCTTTGTTTTAGAAGTAAAACTCTATTCGGAAGTTCTACACTAAATAAATAGCTTCTGAGGTAAAATGTCTAGGCTTATTTAAAGTGCGGGGAACAATGGTAATTGAATTCTTGAAATGGTTAATCAAGTCTTGTCCCTTCTAGCTTTTGGCTCACTTTCATTATTGCTCAGCTGTTGATATGTTAGATGTGTTAAAGATTCAAACATGGGTATTCAGTTCATACTTTGTCTTATGCAACTAATATCAATGAGCATCTGCTGTGTATCTAGCACTGTGCTAAGTAATTTATATGTATGATCACTTATAAACCAGATAGGTGTTATTCGTCTGTCTTCTGGTGATCTTATTCTTACCTATTCTTCACTGGACCATATATCCCCATTCAGTTGAGGTTCCTGACAGAGAAGACACAGGCTCTAACAACCAAATGCATACCAGGCTCTCTTTGGCTAGAACTCTTTTCTAAATCCCACTTTGATCTCCTGTTTTGGTAAACTGAGCTGCACAAGATAGAAACCTCAGAGACTTCTCCTTTTGTCTTTCTTCTCCAAGATCCAGAGCAGAGCAAGCCCCAAAGAGTTCTTCATGCTTCTTTTTTCTGTCTACCCAGGTCAGTTCAGCTTCTAAGGGTGAGAGCTCCTCCCAAGTTGGAGACAGCTTTTTCTGTCTAGATGGCTCCATCTTTCTCTGGCCAAACACAACAGCATGTGACATAGTTTCTAGACCCTTTATCATCCTGGATGTTATCTTCTGGGTATATCTCAGTTTATGCTTTGTAAAATATGATGACCTGAAACATTCCAGATGTTTTTCCATGGTCAGTTCAGAATGGGTTCTTTTTATCTTATTTTGGTTATTATATATTTAACACAACCTAAAAATGCATTAGTATGTTGTTTTTTATAGTACAGTGATGCATTCAACTTATGGTTTACTAAAAAGTTAGAAGTTACGGGCATTTTCTATATGATGAACACAGTTATACAATTAGTTAATCTGAAAGTAGATTTTTGCAGTTAATTGATTGAGAGAACATTCTTTTGTTGAAAGTAAATTTATTAAGCACTTTATTTATTTTTTTAAATTTATTTTTATTTTTTGGCTGTACGCGGGCCTCTCACTATTGTGGCCTCTCCAGTTGCGGAGCACAGGCTCCGGACGCGCAGGCGCAGCGGCCATGGCTCACGGGCCCAGCCGCTCCACGGCATGTGGGATCTTACCATACCGGGGCACGAATCCGTGTCCCATGCATCGGCAGGCGGACTCTCAACCACTGCGCCACCAGGGAAGCCCTAAGCACTTTATATTAAACCCCGTGTTAAGTGTTTTAAGTGTGGAGATGAATAAGATGTGAATGTCAAGTTTCTGTGTAACCTGCTCACTTGGAGTTAATCTGGGCCTATTTATTCTGGTGTATTGTTGAGAGCATTTAAGAAAGCTCCTAGGCACCTCAGGGCTTCATGGTATCTGGTTTGTAGGAGACATGCATCAAATGCTTGTGGGATATATGAATAAATCACTGATAGCCAAATGGGAAGACTAATGAAAAGAAATACCCTGAACTGTGAGGAACCAAGTCATTCTGAAATGGTTAGTTGTAGATAATGTCAATATAGCTAGCAAAGATAGAATCTCACCTACAACTCTTTCCTTTATAGATTGGGTTTCTTTTCCTAAAATTATTAGTCAAGGGGTGTAATGAACAGTATCTAGAATGCTAGGAGTCATTTAAGGAATATTAGAACCATTAATAAAGCCAAATGAGACATCTTGACCTAATTGATCTGTTTTGAAGTAGATCCCTAAGTTGCCTTCAGTGTTTATGACTTCAATAATGGTTTTGCATCCTTTGTTTACCTTATTTTCCTGTGTCAGTTTTCAGAGTTCATAGCTAATGGAGAGAAGAAATTTTATGGCTATTTTACCATCATGGTGGAATAGTCCTGTGTACCGTTCTTTTTTCACAGGAGTGAAATTATGATGAGAAATCTTGTAAGGTCATATACTCGGTCACCTCATTTTCACCCTTCCCCACTTATCTCAGAGTGTCAAATTATGGTTCCCCCTTGACACACACACACACTCACACACACTCACACTCACACTCACGTATACACTTGCTTACTTGATATGGTTTCTTTTTTTTGACATGGTTTCTTTATGTGCTTGATTTTCAGGGGGAACTTGCTGCATTTTCCAAGTACTCAAGATGAAGAGGAGAAGGGAAAATTAGAAGGTGACCAAAGGACCAGCCAGAGTCAACAGCCTATGAAGCCCAGTAGTCCTATCAAAGACCCTGCTTCTCCTACCTCCCTGGAGATGGCCACACAGGAGCCATCCAGTCCTCAAGGGGAAGCAATGGAGACAGATATGCCAGAAGGCCAGAAAGAAGGACAGAATACCAGTCAGGAAAAATCTAGTGAAGCCTTGATTGAAAGGCCCAGCCAAAATAACGTAGGAATCCAGACCATAGAGCATTCCCTCTGGGTCCCCGAAACTGTTTCAGCAGCAACTCAGACTGTAAAGAATGTGTGTGAACAAGGGACCAGTACAGTGGACCAGAACTCTGGAAAACAAGATGCCACAGTTCAGACTGAGAGGGGGAGTGGTGAGAAACCAGTCAGTGCTCCTGGGGATGATACAGAGTCACTCCATAGCCAGGTGAGAGAACATACAGGGTACCTCAGGGGCCCTGTTTTCAACTTTCTGGATTCCCAGAGAATTTAAGTTGTGGTACTTGTACTTAATGATAATTCATAACAGTTTTATACAGACCAGTGTTTAAAGGATAAAAACAATTCATCCAGGATTGGGATAGGGTAGTGAAAATTATGGGTAGCTATAGCCAATAAGATAATCTTTCAGGGAAATGGAATAGTACTAGAGTTTGTCAAGTAGGTCTTTACTGGAAGAGAAAGCCGGGAATATAGTCTGGGTCCTGTAATACTTTTCTACATTCAATCTTTCCTTCTGCCATCATTTCTCATCCTCCTTTATAACCGTAAGAGCTAATTGCTTGTCCCCCAAGTCTATTTAACCAATGTTCCCAGGAACTGAGAGAGTAGAAAGTAAAGGAGGAAGGAGTAGAAGAAGCATGAAGGATAGTTTATCACAGTATTGTAAACAAAGAACACTAACAGGGAAAGTCCCCAGGTGACCAGAGACTGCAGAAAGAGGCTAGGAATAGACATACTGGGAAGAAAAGGTTTGGGGCTGATGAACGTGAGACTGGAAGAAGAACAGCTGCTTGGGAATAGAGTAGGGAAGTGTAGGTACTAGTGAAAATTGAGTGGGTAAGAAGTGGTGGTAGTAATGTACATGCTAACAAGAGGAAGTTCATAAAATTTCATTAGTAATAGTGGTTAAATTGCCTTTTCAGTTGCTCTGGTAGATCATCTTCACTTGGGATCTGCCTAGGAAAGCTTCACTAGTGATGTGCCTCTCATTCGAATGGTCCAAGTTGTTTGTTTTATAAAAATAAAATAATTCCTATTTATTGAACACCTACAGTATATCAGCATTGTGCTCAAGACAACCCATGAGGTTGGTATTATTATTCCCATTTCACAGGTAAAGAAACCAAGCTGAAGAGAGGTTAAGTAACTTGCCCAAGATTTTGCCATCAGTAGGTGGCAGAACTGGAATTTGAACTCAGCATATCTGACTTCAGAATCGGTATTCTTTTCATTATGCTATGTTGCTTTTCTGTTTTTAAATCACAGCTTGTGTAGTCTTGTTCTGTTTATCCATGCCTCTCCAAAAATTCTGTTTATATTAGCCTTTTATAGTAACACAGCCTCTGAGACCTAAGACCTTATCAATTCAGGAAGTTTCAAAATAGCATAGCCTTTTGGATATAGGGGCTGTAGCACATCAGACCCTATTTTGCAGCTGTTTATTTTCACCCTTAATTTAAAGTGTTTGATTCTGCCACATAGTAATTAGGTTTCTCTGCCTTTATAAAAAGAGTTTATCTTAAAGACAGCAATCATGTGGGTGCCACTAGATTGTATTTTCTTTTACTTCTTCATATTCTCCCTCTGTCAAATAGGAAAATAATTTCTGTTCCTGTCTCAACATGATGATAGGAGCCAGTGAGCCAGAGCTCAGGCTTTGGAGTCAGACAGCATCTGGATGTTGTGAAAGTTGAGATAAAGTTTGCAAAGCTCTTAGCACTGGGTCTGACACACAGTAAATGCTCAATATGTGTTGGCTACTGCTACAACCTATTGATTATTATTGTTTTAACTACTACTACTGCAGCTGTTACCAGCACAACCACCACTTATGCTGTACTACTACGTCATACAGAGCGAAATGACATATTTAAGAGCTAGTTGCTCCTGCTAAGGAAAGAAAAGTGCTAAAAAAATACAGATGCAGATTGGGTACAGAGTTTCTGTTGAGAAAGATAAAAAAGTTCTGGAGGTGGATATGGTGATGTTTTTACAATAATGTGAATGTACATAATGCTACAAACTGTTTATTTAAAAATGGTTAAAATGGTAAATTTTATGTTAAGTATATTTTACCGCAATTAAAAAATATAAATGGTGGGTACAGTAACAGAAATTGGGGTTGGTGTGCCATCTTTTGAAGAATGGTTGGAAAATGAGGAACGCGGTATGGAGGTTTTCCAAACATCAGTGCTTTTTTATCCCTTCCAGTCTGGGTAGGACTCAGTTCAGTACTCAGAGAAAAACATAGGCAGCCTACATTTGACATTCCTTAAATTTCCATTTATGTGTCAAGTGGGCCTAGAGCCAGGTTTTCTATGAAGTGAAAGTACGGTTTTATTTTTATTTTATCTTCCCTTAATCATAACAAGATCCTCAAGCTATTTATCTTTACAGAAACTTCTTTTCAGAAGACTATTTGAAGAGAGTAAGCATAACTTTCTTTTTATCTGCCCTTTTTCCCTTCTCTCCTTTCTTATTCTATCAGACATGTTTATTTAGGTATCTCTCTTGAAGTGATCATTTGTCTGGCTGTTGTAATGGAAGAATACAGGGAGGGTTTTTGGCCACATTTCAGGGACATATAAAGCACACTGAAACCTTTTAGACCCCTGTGTGTGCAGGCAGGAAGTCCAGGCTGCCATGGCTCTGATACACCCTGATGACTGACGTATGCCCTGACCATTCATTAACCAGGGTTGTATATACAGAAGTATTTTAAGGAATTGGTTGAATAAGTTTCCACGCATTTTATTTTATTTATATTTATTCACATAATTTTAGTAGATATTTCACCCCTAACATGAAGTTGGAGTGCAAATTATTCAGAGAAATTACTTTAGGTAAATTACTACCACACTATCAGGAAAAAACCAGACTCATTATTGCAGTGGTAAATATAACTCTTTTGAAAGACTTAGATACCTTGACACTGACTGCAGAAAGTAAAATCAGTCTACTATAGGGGAAATAAGGTGGGAGAAGAAAGTGTGCATTTCCTCTCACAATTGCAGAGCCATGGGGTAGAAGGGGGGTGGGGGGCTTGGATATGGATAAATGTGATCTAGGTGTTATGAGAAAACATGTAGGTAACAGTTGTCATAAAAATGTAGGGTTTTATTTAAAATATATAACTGATTATGGTGCAACTAGATATGAAATCCTAATTTGCTAATGTTCTGTGTTTCTGGACACTAGCTCAACTCTTTAGTTACAATCTCTTATTTGGAATAGATCAAATATTTCATATTTAATTCTAGGAGAAATCAGTGTGTCTTGTTCCAGGTATAAATAAACCGTAGTTTTCACTTACTAATGCAGAAAAAACAGACTGCACTGAGACTAACAGATGTTATTGCTTTATATAAAGTTCTAAAGAATGCCTTCCTTTTATCTGAAGAGCCTGTTGTAAGTGTAAACTTGAATGCTGATTGACAAGTCGGCAACAAAATCAGAAGGATTACAGTCTCAATGTGCTTTTAGGGGTCAAAGTTTCACTTAAATATCCTAGATATAAGTGCTAGATGTTATGCTTTTAATTTAGGCAGGAATAGGTTGTTTTAGGTGAAACTGATACAGACTTTTCCTAGCCTCTGGCTAGACAGCTGGTCCATCCCTAGTGTTACCTATAGGTGAATAGAAACAAAGCAACGGGAAAATTCCATCACATTAGATTCATGGAACCTCTGAACAGTGCTCATCATGAAGCAGTTGACTTGTGATTCTGACAGTTTGCAGTGAGACTCTCTATTTTTTATCATAGGGAGAGGAAGAGTTTGATATGCCTCAGCCCCCTCATGGCCATGTCTTGCATCGCCACATGAGAACAATTCGTGAGGTTCGCACACTTGTCACTCGTGTCATCACAGATGTGTATTATGTGGACGGAACAGAGGTAGAAAGAAAAGTAACTGAGGTAATGTACACTGTGGGTCTATGTGGCAAATTTTTTTCAATAGAAGAATTACCCTGGCTCTCTACCTGCTCCCCTCTTCCCTATACAACTAGCTACTAACACTGTTTTCTTTAATCCTTTTATGAGAAAGTATAACAACTGGGCTAGAGTTCTGAGTTCTGTCTTTCCCAACTATGGGTTTGCTGTTTGACCTCTGGTCACTTATTTAACCAATCCCATCATGCACTCTGTATCTATAAAGAACAGATTGATAAATCTCTCATGTGTAAAGATTTTATGTGTTTAAAAAAAAAATTTTTTTTAATTGTAGTTGATTTACACTGTTGTGTCCATCTCTGCTGTACAGCAAAGTTACTCAGTTATACACATAGAGACATGCTTTTTTTTAATATTCTTTTCCATTATGGTTTATCCCAGGATGTTGAATATAGTTCCCTGTTACGTGTTATTTTTAATCCGTGGAAACTAATGAAGTGTAGAACTCCCTGCTTAGCTGCATGTATTTTCTCATCGTTTCTCACTGTTTTCTCACGTGTTACCATTTTTTACTCATTGGTCTTAGTTTCCATTCGTGTGTGGTTATGAACCTGTTAGTAGGAGATGTACCTTTTTTTTTTTTTAATTATTTAATTTATTTTTTTGGCTGTGTTGGGTCTTTGTTGCTGCGGGGGCTACTCTTCAGTGCGGCGCGTGGGCTTCTCATTGCGGTGGCTTCTCTTGTGATGGAGCACAGGCTCTAGGCGCACGGGCTTCAGTAGTTGCAGCACTCGGGCTCAGTAGTTGTGGTGCGTGGGCTCTAGGGCTCGTGGGCTTCAGTAGTTGTGATGCACAAGCTTAGTTGCTCCACGATATGTGGGGTCTTCCCAGACCAGGGCTCAAACCCATGTCCCCTGAATTGGCAGGCAGATTCTTAACCACTGCACCACCAGGGAATTCCTGGAGATGAACCTTTATTTCTTAGTAGGATTCATTATGGACTCATTCCCAGTGTCAGCATTAATATTGGTGTTTATTGACTGTTATAGTGTACAACGTTGTATGCTGACTTTGTTTAGATCTAATACTTGCTGAGGTTAGAGAGATTTTCTAGAATTAAAGATCTGGCACTTTTTTCTTGGTATATATGTTAATATCTGGGAACCATTTTAGTAATTGATAAGAGGCATAGCTATTCTATTCCTTAGTCAAGCACTTTTCTTTAATTCTGCCAGCTAGCCATATAGGAGGTTGTGCTCAGGGAGAATTAAACTGGTGTATAGTTTTATTTTTTTTTTTTGAAATTTTTAAAATGAATTTATTTATTTATTTGGCTGTGTTGGGTCTTTGTTGTTACGTGCGGTCTTTTCTCTAGTTGCGGCGAGCAGGCTTTCTCTAGTTGCGGTGAGCGGGGCTACCCTTCATTGCGGTGCGTGGACTTCTCATTGCAGTGGCTTCTCTTGTTGTGGTATGTGGGCTCTAGAGTATAGGCTCAGTAGTTGTGGCGCACGGGCTTAGTTGCCCTGCGGCATGAGGGATCTTCCCGGACCAGGGCTCGAACCCGTGTCTGCTGCATTGGCAGGTGGATTCTAAACCACTGTGGCACCTGGGAAGTCCAAAACTGGTATATAGTTTTTTTTTTTTTTTGTGGTATGCGGGCCTCTCACTGTTGTGGCCTCTCCCGTGTGGAGCACAGGCTCCGGACACGCAGGCTCAGCGTCCATGTCTCACGGGCCCAGCCGCTCAGCGGCATGTGGGATCTTCCCGGACCGGGGCACGAACCCACGTCCCCTGCATCGGCAGGCGGACTCTCAACCACTGCGCCACCAGGGAAGCCCTGGTATATAGTTTTAAGTGGAACATATTATTGCTATTGTTCATTATTGGGCCATTGTGGCCCTCATGTCAGAAAGGATTTTATATTAGTTTGAGAAATTGTCTTTTTTTTTTTTTTTGGCCATGCTGTGCAGCTTGCAGGATCTTAGTTCTCCGACTAGGAATTGAACTTGGGCCCTCAGCAGTGAAAGCATGGAGTCCTAACAACTGGACCGCCAGGGAGTTCCCAATTCTTTATTTATTATACACTAAGTTCCAGAAATAATTCTTTTAAAACGTTGATTTACCTTCAATTTTATGTTTACAAAATTTTTTTCAGTGTTATTACTATTTTGGAAAAATTGTGAGCTTAGCAGCTTTATAGAAAAAATTTGCTTTCATGAAAAGTTTTTGTAACTGTTGTAGTCTACACTGAACTATGTGCCAGGTACTAGTTTTAAGTGTTAAACATATTACTTTATTTAATATTTTTTATGGTGCTTTCTAAAGTATATTTTTGGAAACAGCAGGCCTGCTAGATACTCTGAGAGGGAAAACAAAGTTCCATGGTCATAAATATTAAGTTTGAGAAAACACCTAGTGCTGTAACTGCCCCCTCCCCCACCATGGAGATTCACAGTGCATATTACATTAAAGGGTCTAAGAAGCCCTCCAGTAAAGATATCTATTTTGGGACTTCCCTGGTGGTCCAGTGGGTAAGACTCCGTGCTCCCAATGCAGGGGCCCAGGTTCAATCCCTGGTCGGGGAGCTAGATCCTGCATGCATGCCACAACTATGAGCCCGCATGCTACAACTAAAAGATCCCGCACACCACAACAGAGACTCCACAACTAAGAACCGGCGCAGCCAAAGTAAATGAATAAATATTTTTAAAAATCTATTTTATTGTGTAACACAGCATTTCCTAAATTTATTTGACTATTGAACTTTTTTTTTTTGTGGTACGTGGGCCTTTCACTGTTGTGGCCTCACCCTTTGCGGAGCACAGGCTCCAGACGCGCAGGCTCAGTGGCCATGGCTTATGGGCCCAGCTGCTCCGCGGCATGTGGGATCTTCCCAGACCGGGGCACGAACCCGTGTCCCCTGCATCGGCAGGCGGACTCTCAACCACTGCGCCACCAGGGAAGCCCAGCATTTTTTAAAGTAATGTGTATTATACACCTATGTTACATAGTTTGGGAAACACTTGCCATAATTAAATAAAATAGTAATAGCAAATAACATTTATTGAGCACTAGCTATATGCCAGGCACTCTTTTTTTTAAATTTTTATTTATTTTTTACACAGCAGTTTCTTATTAGTTATCTATTTTATACATATTAGTGTATACATGTCAATCCCAATCTCCCAATTCATCACACCCCACCACCTTCCTCCCTTGGTGTCCGTACGTTTGTTCTTTACATCTGTGTCTCTATTTCTGCCAGGCACTATTCTAAGGACTTTTACGTGATTTAACTCATTTAATTCTCACAACTAAGCTGTGAGGTGGATATTGTTATTCCCATTTTGCACTCAAGAAACTGACATAGCAAGTTAAAATCACTTGCTTAATGCTACAAAGCTAATAAACAGAGGAACTAGAATTCATCCCAGGCAGTCTAATTCCACAGCCTGCATTCCTAACTACTACATTGTGCTGTCTCTTAAGAGTGAAAGGGATGTGTGTCAAACAGAAGGTGTGTGTAGTAGTTCAGAAGAGGAGGAAACATGTCTGAAGAGAATTTTGATAAAGCCTTTCTGGGTGAGGGCCAGAAAGTACTTGAGTTGGACACTGAAGCTTTTAGATATTGGGAGATACAGGGAAAGGGTGTTCTATACAGAAAGAAGGCTTGGTGAGCAAAGGCACAGAGGCAGAAAGTAAAGAGCACAGATGTGGGAACAGTACACTTGGTGGGCAGCCCAAAGATGTGTAGAGGTGTGAAGGTGGACAGGTTGACGTCAGAGGATTCTGGGAACTTTCCTTCCCTCATCTCTTGTAGCCTTTGTTTATCATATTTTAAAAAATTTTATTCATCTATTTACCAGCAGCTTCTTTTTTGCTGTGTTCCTAGCACTATGGTGGGCACTGAGACTAAGAAGATAAAAAGACAGGGTCTCTATTCTCTTAGGAGCTTATTTACACTTGACATGCAACAAATCCAGAACTTGTGGTTGCTGTAGTAGAGGTATGGAAAGATGTGTTAGAAAGAGGGGCCAGAGCCTGCTAGCTTACCTGAAGGTGACTAAAAGGCCTCACAGAAGATGTAGTGCTCAAAGTGCGGCAGATGAGATCGAAGGGCAGGGGAGAAGGACGCTGCACGCAGAATGAAAAGGTTTGTAAATATGTAGACAGCATGGCATGCTTAATGAATATTTAGAATGTGACAAGGACGGTAGGGTAGGGAATTGTGAGAGAGGGTGCTCTTGAGGATGGTAGGGGCCCAGAGCATAAGGCTTTGTATATCATAGAAGAGAGTTTAGATTTTTATCTTTTGTGTGATGGAAAGCCTTTAAAGAATTTGGGGTAAAGGGATGACATGCTCAGATTTGCATGTTGGAAAGGTCCGATTGGCAGCAGTGTAACGATTGGAATGGGAGGGGTTAGAGGCATAGTTCAGACAAGAGGCAATGAGTGTCAAATTAGGACAGTGGTAGTGGGGATTGAGAGGAGGGAAATAGATGTAAAAAAATACATATATAGAAGGTGAAATTGATAGACTTTGGTGAATTCCTACATGTGGGGTTTGTGGGAGAGGGAGGAATCATATATGATACCTGGGCTTTTTGCCTGGGCAGATAGATGGTGGTACCATTTACTGAGAGAATATAAATAGGACACTGGTTTGAGAGAGAAGATCCTTCATGCAGTAAATATTTACTGAGGACCTCTTTTGTGGCAGGCACTGTGCTATTTTGAGGGTAAATCCAGGAAAGAAGGTGGTCACTACTCTGTCTTAATGTGGCCTCTGTAGTCTAGTAGGAAGGACGCACAGGAAAAAAATAAGCAAATACATTAAAAAGATCATGAGGCCACCTTGGAGCCTGGGCCCAAGTCATTATAAGAGCAAGGGCTCAACTTTTGAACAGTTGCAAAGGCAGGTATAGTTAGCTACTGTTCTTTGGGCCTACTCTCCAACTGAGACACAGCCTGGAGTCCCAGCCCTCTAGGCTGGTCTTGCCCCTGCTCATTTGCCGTGTCCAAGAGAAGGAGTTGACTTAAGTTCTGAGCTCTCAACACCTGCTTTAGTCAAGTGGCCTTGGCAGATTATGCTGACTCACATCCAGCTAAAGAAGGCAAGTTGGATGATAGGAGATGGTAACTGGAGAATGGTGAGATTTCTGGAGGTGGTGCAGCTTCTGGTAATGACCCTGGTAGTAGCAGATGGCTGAGGTAGAGTAGAGGAAAAGGTTAATGGTGGTAATTAGATCAGGAAAGATTGTTGCTGGATGGGTCATCTGATGGATGTTAGCCTCGGAAAATGACAGCGGAAGGGAGGCTGTGAACCAGGAGTATAAGGTGTTCATGCATGAAGAGTCAGTAATTGATAGAATGTTGGTGAGTAACAATGAGGGAAGGAGAGAGTTTAACAGAATGGCAAATAATGATTTGGTAGGAACAAGAAGTGGGGAGTTAGAAATGATCTGTTAATGGCAGTGGGGAGCAAGGAGGCCTCTCATCTCCAAACTCTTGAATTGAGGTTTGGTTGAGAAAAACCAGCCCGTGCTACAGAGAGCTGCAGGGGATATGAGTTTCACTGGGGAGGTCCAGGATTCATTCATTGAAGGCAAGGAAATGAAGAGAAGATGACAGATTGAGTTTTGGATCGGTTAAACTGCAGGTGTCCCTAGTACATACAAGGGGAAGAGTTTAGTAGGCATTCGCATCCGTGAATTTGGAGCTGAGTCATCATTGTATTGTTGGTAGACAGGCCGGAATAAGTCAGGTAAGACTGGCCAGAGAAAGCATGGGAGAGTGAGGAAAGGAATGAGAACAGAGTCCTGGGAAATACTAATTTAAAAGGAATAGGCAGAGAAAGAGGAACCAAAAAACAAGTGCAAATAGAAGTAGCTAAAGAGGTAGAATGAAAGGAAGAAAAAGTGACTTTATAGATTTTAGAAGAGAAGAGATTTTCAAGAAGGGAGTGGTCAAAAATAATTATTTAATCATCTTATAGCATTATTTAAACATGTGTGCATTGCATACTGTCTCCCAGAGAGACTGTAAACTCTTTGAGGGAAGAGTCTGTCTTATACTTTTCCATATTTTCTCTGATAATTAGCACAATAAGGCATGAACAGGCTAGAGTAGGAAAGCAAATGTACAGCACCTGTGCTGTAATTTCTCAATCCTGTGCCCGTAGAGGACATTGCTGATTGGTCCTAGAACCTTTCCTCACTAAACCTGGGAATTAGCCTTAGTGGCTGCTTAAAACTGAGCTCCAGGCAACCACTACCAATCCATCAAAGTAGGCATGTGAGTGAGATAAAGTCAGTTTGATATTCCTGTCCTCTGTAGATACCGGAAATTCATATATTTTGATTATTGCCTTTTTGGTTTTCATTTTGGTAAACAGTGATACCATTATATAGCTATTTTTGCCTATAATTTTTAATTTCCTTGATCACATATTGAAAGGTAATAGAAAATATCTAATTTCAAAAAACATGTAAGGCTACCCACTGCTATAATCATGTACCCAGAAGGGCTCCTAACCACTTCTTCCTCTAACCTACCTACTTCCTTACCTTTCTTCTGTTAGACAGGGAATTACCTGTGTCCTCTGGGTTGGAATCCTTGCTGGGTTCTCAGCAGCCAAAGGTTGTGAACTTGTCCAGTAAAAAGATAATTTAACTTAGCTCAGGATAGAGGTCTCTTTCTTCTGATCTAGTACCACCTTTATCTTATTTTTTACGGAGATATGTATTCCCTGTAGAATGCACAGGTCTTAAATGTTCAGTTCAGTGACTTTGACAGTTATATGTAATCACTACTCAAAGCAAGATATAGAACATTTCCATTACTCCAGAAAGTTCCCTCCTAATTCCCACCTTTCTGAATTGAAATTTCTTGCCATTTAGGATTTTCCAACCATCACATGAGCATTATGTTATTGTGGCTTTTTTAAGCTCTTGTATCCATTTCTTCCTTGCAGGAGACTGAAGAGCCAGTTGTAGAGTGTCAGGAGTGTGAAACTGAAGTTTCCCCTTCACAGACTGGGGGCTCTTCAGGTGACCTGGGGGATATCAGCTCCTTCTCCTCCAAGGCATCCAGCTTACACCGCACGTCAAGTGGGACAAGTCTCTCAGCCATGCACAGCAGTGGCAGCTCAGGGAGAGGAGCCGGACCACTCAAAGGGAAAACCAGTGGGACAGAACCCGCAGATTTTGCCTTGCCCAGCTCCCGAGGAGGCCCAGGAAAACTGAGGTGCAGACAGGGTCTCCAGAGAGAGAGCCACAGCAGGGGCAGGGTTGCTGACGTTTTAATATCACGGGAAAAGGGGAGTAATGGGAAGTCCCCGCATCCTCCTCCTAGGATAAATCAACTCCTCTTCCTCCCCTTTCGTTCCTCTTCTATTTTGGGTTTGCATGGGAGGTAGGGTGGAGCCCTCTGGGAGGCAGACTTCCTGAGAAACTGTAGAAAACAGGTGAGGGGACTTTGGGAAAGCTGGCACATATTCCTGTCCCCCAGCCCCCATTTTCTGCAGCCTATGAGTGTTTTGGTTGGGAGTACAGAAAGTTTGGGGTAGCAGCCCCAACTTGACACATTCCCTAGCTTTTTGTTTTCCTCTACAGGTATCCAGAGCCTGAAGTACAAGAGAAGGCAGGGCAGAAATGGATGTGCTGTTTTTGAGGGCAGCAGTAGGAAGCTTTGTCAGGAGGGAGTAGACTTGCATAGAAGGATGTCCTTTACTTGTTACCCTGTACTCCTGCTCCCAGCTGATTGGGTGGTGGGTGTGTGGACCAGCTTCCTGCTGCCCTGGAGGCTCAGCACGTGTTGGCCTGGCATGTAGTCTGAGGACCAAGGGGAGACTGTGAAGAAAGGATCCAGTAGCAGGTGCTATCAGACTAACCTGTCTTCATTCTCTAGTCCTAGAAAAGGGGTCAGTCAGACAGGGACGCCAGTGTGTGAGGAGGATGGTGATGCGGGCCTTGGCATCAGACAGGGAGGGAAGGCTCCCGTCACGCCTCGTGGGCGCGGGCGAAGGGGCCGCCCGCCTTCTCGGACCACTGGAACCAGGTACCCGGGTAGTGTGAGATACACTTAGTCTATGACTTGTTCAGAAAAAAAGGGAGTAGAGAGAAGAGAGGGGAGTAGAGAGTATGTGGGGTGTCAGGAGGGAGAAGAGGGGCCCACACTGACCGGGGAGTGGGCAGGGTTCAGAGTGAGGCTGCTGAGACACCAGGCTTCTGCCTGTGATGGGTTAGCAAAGAATGGGCTGGAGACCCATGGACAAAGGAGTGGGAAAATTGGTAGATAAGTACTGCTCTCTGCTTATTCTCACTGCCTTCTCCTTTTTCTTATCTCTCTTTAGGGAAACAGCTGTGCCTGGCCCCTTGGGCATAGAGGACATTTCACCCAGCATGTCGCCAGATGATAAATCCTTCACCCGTATTGTGCCCCGCGTGCCAGACTCCACCAGACGAGCAGACATGGGTGCTGGTGCTTTGCGTCGAAGCGACTCTCCAGAGATTCCTTTCCAGACTGCTGCTGGCCCTTCTGATGGCTTAGATGCCTCCTCTCCAGGGAACAGCTTTGTAGGGCTCCGTGTTGTAGCCAAGTGGTCATCCAATGGCTATTTTTACTCTGGAAAAATCACACGAGATGTTGGAGCTGGGAAGTATAAATTGCTCTTTGATGATGGGTATGAGTGTGATGTGTTGGGCAAAGACATTCTGCTGTGTGACCCCATCCCACTGGACACAGAAGTGACAGCCCTTTCGGAGGATGAGTATTTCAGTGCAGGTAATAAAAGAGGCAAGACCTCTCTTAACACCTCTCCAATACCAACAGCGTTCACTGCAGCCTGAGTACTTTTCTGTGTTCTCTAAAGTCGTATTTCATTCCTAGCACTGGTTACTCTCACCCCTGGCTTTTTTGTTCTTCTTTATTGCTTGTTTATTTTTGAATAAACTTCTTATTTTTGAAAAATTTTATATATGCAGAAAAGTTGCGAAGTACAGAGTATTAATAGTATATAGAGTTCCCATGAACCCCTCACGCAGCTTTCCCGTTTCCCTGTTGTTAACATTTTACGTTAGCATGGTACGTTTGTCAAAACTAAGAAAACTACCTTGGCTCATTACTATTAACTAAATTCCCAACTTTTTTGGATTTCACCAGCTGTTCCATGTCGTTTTTCTGTCCCAGGATCCAATCCAGGATTACTGAATTGCATCTAGTCCTCATGTGTCTTTTTTATTTTCTTTTTTTAAAAATAAATTTATTTATTTATTTATTTTTGGCTGCGTTGGGTCTTCGTTGCTGCACGCGGCCTTTCTCTAGTTGCGATGAGCGGGGACTACTCTGTTGCAGTGCGTGGGCTTCTCATTGCGGTGCACTGAGGGGGCTTCTCAGTGCGGGCTTCTCATTCTCTTGTTGTGGACCACGGGCTCTAGGTGTGTGGGCTTCAGTAGTAGTGGCACGTGGGCTCAGTAGTTGTGGCTCGCAGGCCCTAGAGCGCAGGCTCAGTAGTTGTGGCTTGCGGGCTCTAGAACACAGGCTCAGTAGTTGTGGCACATGGGTTTAGTTGCTCCACAGCATGTGGGATCTTCCCGGACCAGGGCTGGAACCCGTGTACCCTGCATTGGCAGGTGGATTCTTAGCCACTGTGCCACCAGAGAAGCCCCCTCATGTGTCTTTTGTTCTCTGATCTGTAACAATTTCTGAATCTTTTCTTGTTTTTCATGACCTTGATGGTTTTGAGGAGTACTGGTCAGGTGTTTTTTGAATGTCCTTCAGTTTGGGTTTGTCTCATGTTTTCTCTAGATTGGCGTTATGGGTTTTTGAAAGGAATGCTGCAGAAGTGAAGTGTCTTTCTCAACACATTGTATGTGGGAGGGCAGTATGTGACATCCAAAGGGCATCTCTGCTGATATTAACCTTCATCATTGGTGAAGGTGGTGGTTGCCAAGTTTCTCCATTGTAAAGTTAGTGTTTTTCCCTTTCCATTTTCTATTCTTTCACCACCGACTTGTAAAGTTACTGCCTTTCTTGATGGGAACCTTAGGTAGCTGAATGTGGCAAATATATTGAGATATTTTTGCTTAGGAGGAGGTTGTTAGTGCTGTGTTTGTATGTCTGCACACCCACCACTTACTCTCTGGTTTGGAAAAATGGTGCCTTTTTTTTTTTTAAACCGGTACAGTTCCCTGTACCGGTGATGGTGAGAGATTTCTGTCTGTTATGACTGTTTCATGTGCCCATTCTTTGAATATATTGCCTCTTTTCTGTGAAGTAATTTGGGAATACATGTTTGCATTGAGTTTGTCATTTAAAAACATCCTTTTTCTGGGGGATTTTTTGGAACAAGGATTGGTATATAATGGGCAAAAATGCCTCTATTGAAGTCTCTTCAGACTTTCTCGTGATCTGGACTCCTGAGTAGTTGCTCTTTGCCCCTTTATTTCATTGTTATATGGGCCACTTCACCTTCTAGTTCTGGATAACACTTAGCTCCATGTAACATCAGTTAGTAGCACATGGATTGAGATCTTTTATGACCTGTGACCTAACATAGTTTGTATCAAATGCATTTGTTCCTGTTTCTGGTGTAAAGCCTCTCTTGGAGGTCCACATTAGGCCCTCTTAAGAGAGAGGCAGTTCTCTATCCTGAGTGAATTATGGCATACAGGGGAGGGGATTCTGTGTCCCATTTATTGAGGCTGTCTGCTAATGTTAACACTAGACAGCTTCTAGTTCTAGTAGCTCGTCATTAGTGTGAAGTGTATTGTTGGCCTTGGGCTTCTTTGTGCTCTTGAGGGGTCTTTTTGATTTAGAGATTTAAGCCAGGAGATGAACAAGCAAAGGGGAAAGAGAGTGATTCTGTGGCATAGGTGAGGGAGAGAACCAAGGCCTGCTTTCTCCTCTATCGCTTTTTCCCCCTTGGTGCATGCTCTGGGTTTCTTTAGCCCTTCATTTAAGCACAGGCTAATGGGAGAGAACAAATGAACCCTTCTGTTCATAGGAATGAAAAAGTATTCACATTAGTGCCCTGTTTTTATATCATATGTGTGTTGCATTTATGTTTATATTTATATATGTATCTTTTTTATAGGATTGGAAATGGGTCTTGCCCAAGATCACACAGCTTGGTGGTAGCAGAATTAGGCCTAGGCTCAGGTCTCCTGAATTCTAGCCCAGTTTCCTTTTATACCCCACATCGTGTTCCTTCTAATCTAAAGGCCTTATCTTGAGGTTCTGAATCAGAACAAGAGCAGAAAAGTAGATAATAAGGAGGGAAGATTAGGGAGGAGAGGCAGGATTTATTTTTTTCCTTTCTCTGGTCTATATCTCTATTGTGATTTTGCTACACAGACACATGCTTTCTCTCTTTGAATGATGTCATCTTTCATCTACAACTTAACTCAAGAATTACCACCCAGCCTCCAAAGAAACCAAGAAGGAAAGGTTTAGTAAAGTTGTAATGGGACTGTTTAACAAACCACATGCCGTTTCACTTCAAGAACCATTTGAACCGCTAACAACCCACAAAGGCTGGCTTTAGGAAGCTTTATTTTATAACTGAAGGGCTCCTTCTGCTGAGAAGCTTCACGGTCCAGTCCCTGGGTGGTGTCTACATGTACCCTAAGTGGTGCGGTGTCTGGGATTGACAGCCAGGGTTCTGTGCAGCCCTAACTGCAGTCCTCTGTTGTACCTCCTCTAATTCCCTGACTCAGGCCTGCTCTGAGTGGATGCTGAACAGCCTAAACAGCAAGCTGCTTTTATGTTTTTCCTACCCAGGAGTGGTGAAAGGGCATAGGAAGGAGTCTGGAGAGCTGTACTACAGCATTGAAAAAGAAGGCCAAAGGAAGTGGTATAAGCGAATGGCTGTCATCTTGTCCTTGGAGCAAGGAAACAGACTGAGAGAGCAGTACGGCCTAGGCCCATATGAGGCAGTGACGCCCCTCACCAAGGCAGCAGATATCAGCTTAGGTAAGACCTCTGCTTCCTGAACAGCTAACTGCCTCTGGACCCTGGCCTGCTTGTGGTAGGAGGAGTGGTTTTTAGAGCAATCGGTAATGCTTCCCTGAATCTTATCATTCCTTGGTCGTTTATGAGATGGTAATGAGCCAGTGTTTTTGGAGCCACTTCATAGCTCTGTTTTCTCGCCAAGACCAAATAGTAAGTCCTCAGATTTTTTTTGGCCTCCCCAGTTCTATAAGGGACCCAGCACATTTTAGTCATGGCAGAGACTGAAACAGAAAATATGGTGGCCTTAAAAGAGGCTTCCTGCCCCCATGGGAGGTGGGGGAAAGGGTGTAGCGGTCTCTGAATCAGGCTGTGCCCAGCTTCTTGGCGTTCAGGGCCTCAGACCATGGGAGTTGACTCACCTGCGGCTTATCCTCCCATAGACAATTTGGTGGAAGGGAAACGGAAGCGGCGAAGTAACATCAGCTCCCCTGCCACCCCCACTGCCTCCAGCAGCAGCAGTACAACCCCTACCCGGAAGATCACAGAAAGCCCTCGTGCCTCCACCGGAGTTCCCTCAGGCAAAAGAAAACTTACCACTTCTGAGGAGGAACGGTCCCCTGCCAAGCGAGGCCGGAAATCTGCCACTGTGAAACCTGGTGAGTGCTCCCTTTTGCCTCATTCTCCCTCAGACCACAGCAAATGCAGGGTCAGCTGCTGGAGAGACAGAGCCTGATACACGCAATGGCTCCTCCATCGCGGTTACACAGCTGGAGTCCTGCACAAACCTCCATCTCCCAGCAGAGTCCAGTTGGGTAGATAGGAAGCCGGGTCTTGATTGGCAACATCCGCTGACCCCGGTGTTGGCTCTAGGAGGGAGAGGAAATGTAATGCATTTGAGCAGATTCAAAATAGGTGAAATTTTTCTTAGACCTCTTCCTTTTCCTGGCACCATTTCCGTCCAGAAGCTCTGCTCCCCTCTCCCTTGTGCTCAGGGCCCTTTGGCTTTCCCGGATGTCCTATTGAAAGCCAGTACCTTGGCTTGTATCTCCCCTCTCCCTACCTACCCCCAAATAACCCCTTTCTAGTCCCTCAAGTCATATTAATAGAGGAGTTCAATCCATTTATTGTTTACTGGGTCTCTGCTGTGACCCAGGCCCAGCCACTGTGGCTTCTGGAGACACAGAGGTAAAGTCCTCAGAATCTGCCCCAAGGGCGCTTTCTGAGTCTCGCAAACTGAGCAAGTTCATTGGTTGTTACATCGTCCTGGCACCAGAGCTGCTTTTGTTTCCTGCGTATTTGAGTTGTGTCATCTCCATATCTATCTAACACCTCTGCTGTGTTTCAGGGTATGTGAGGCATGGAATTAAGTGCGTCATACATACTACCTCATATAATCCCTATGAGGTATAGGTGCTAGAATTCACTTTATAGTTGAAGAATCTGAGGCACAGAAAAGTTGGCTAACTTTCCCAAGGTGACACAGTAATCCAGAATTCAGACTCAGGCAGTCTGATTTTGAAGCCCAGGCTTATACATGCTACATCAGACTGTTCTCTTGCTGCTGGTTTTATTTTAGGGAGGCATGACCTGTCTGTCATCTTAGCCTCCTAATGAGCCTACGATTCAGCTTCTCCAAGTCAGGTATTTGTTTTCTTCTCGAGGATTTATTGGGGCACTCCGAGCATGGGTGTTCTGGACTGGCTGATTCACTTACCTACTCCCAGGTGTTGAAAACGGGGGCAGTTGAAGCAGGCTGTTTTGATATTGTTCTATCAACACGTAAAAACACTTTATTACAAAGTTCTGTGCACTGTTCTGGTGAGGGTCAGGGATAGGGTGGGAGTATCTGCTGGGGACATTTCTTGGTGAACCCACTTTTTCAAAGGCTGCTTCAAGATATCACATATCCTGGGGAAATCAGGGCACTGGGCAGAGGAAGTGGGCTGAAGATTTCCAAACGTTTTTCACTTTTACTTTATCTTTGTATTAGAATCACCTTTTCTGCAGATGACCTCAGAAGTATTTGGTTTGGCTGTATGAAAACAATACTAGTTGATTTTCACTTATGAAAATAATGTATACATTGTCATGACTGTAAAACTTAAATACATAGAACTTCTCTGCACTGCAAACTTGTTCCTAGGTTGTTGGCCATAGGATTGGTCCTTGGTTTATAGCTCAAAAAAGTTCATCAGGACACTGCCTGCACATCCCATCGTGCCCAGGAATGGTCTGTACCCTGTGCCTCTGTCCTTCCCAGGTGCAGTGGGGGCAGGAGAGTTTGTGAGCCCCTGTGAGAGTGGAGACAACATGGGTGAACCCTCTGCCCTGGAAGAGCAGAGAGGGCCTCTGCCCCTCAACAAGACCTTGTTTCTGGGCTATGCCTTTCTCCTCACCATGGCCACAACAAGCGACAAGTTGGCTAGCCGCTCCAAATTGCCAGATGGTCCTACAGGAAGCAGTGAGGAAGAGGAGGGTAAGACCCTAAGAAGCCCTGAGGGCTCTAACATGTGTACTTCCTTCCTTTCCATTCACTTTATGAACCATCTGTAGAGGAGGAAGAGCAAGTGGCAACTGGAATCACTGTCAGGGAAAATTAATTTAACCCTGCTTCTTGGTTTATAGACTATTCTCACAGAATTCCTTTTAGTGATCAGTTCCTCAAAACAATCCTGTGAGGCAGACGGGAGATAGATGTTACATTTTATAGACGCGGAAACAAGCTTGGAGAGGTCAAATAATTGCTTTTTATCCACGATAATGGTAGACTTGGGACTTAGAACCCAACGTTAACTTTACCTACTACAATCAAATCATCCATGTCAGTCAGGTTTCTGAATGCCCTGCCATCCTTCCCATTTGTGTTCTAGGGGCTAGAGTGAAGTTTATTCTCTTGAGGTCTGTGTGTAAGACTGGGAATGTGAGGTACCCAGTGTCCCAGGGTGATTTCAGAGAAAGAGCCTCTAGACCTTTTCAACTCTTGTGTTTCAACCTTAAACTAAACCTACACATTTCTGTGTTGTCTGTTACTCAGGGTTTGAGTAGACTGCAATGGGGAGAGGTAGAAATTATTTGACATGTCTAAAGAGTGTGTGATCTAGGAGAGAAAACTGGGCAGGTACAAATATACATTGCAATATAAGTGACTGACAGCAGTGCAGTACCCAAATGTGTCTGCAAAGACTAACAGTCCAAATGGAATGATGTTCTACAAGTTAGAGTTCTGACTAATGCTGAGTCTTGCAAGAGGGAATCGAATCAGGGAACATCGTTATCAGAAAATAGCACCAACTGCAGATCTGTGATGGTTGGCGCTTCAGGTATGTGGATGATTTTCTTTTAAATTTATTTTATTATTTATTTTACTTTTGGCTGTGTTGGGTCTTCATTGCTGCACGCGGGCTTTTCTCAAGTTGGGGAGAGGGGGCCACTCTTTGCGGTGCACGGGCTTCTCATTGTGGTGGCTTCTCTTGTTGCGGAGCACGGGCTCTAGGCGCACGGGCTCAGTATTTGTGGCTCGCGGGCTCTAGAGTGCAGGCTCAGTAGTGGTGGCACGTGGGCTCAGTTGCTCCGCGGCATGTGGGAATCTTCCCGGACCAGGGCTCAAACCCGTGTCCCCTGCATTGGCAGGCGGATTCTTAACCACTGCACCACCAGGGAAGCCCCTGATTTTCTTAATTAACCAAAGCTATATCTCACCAGCTACAGCTATGTGGAGATCTGTTCAGGGACGTGGGAAGGGTGGTCAGGGAGTTGCAATTGAGGTTTATACTATCTGGAAGGTGCACAAACAGTCGTGAGTATTGAGGCTTTAGGGTGTGGGAGCAGGTGTAGAGTGGGGGGGTTTCAAGATTAAGTGTGGATCAGGCCTGGTTTGTCAGACAATTCAGATAGGTACAGTGGGAAATGAGGTGTGTGAGGAGTTTCCTAGCCAAGAATGTATTTTGACTTTGATCATAAGGGATTGGGAGTCCCTTGAGGTTTCTGTGAAGAGGTGTCATGGTATCAAAACAGTGTTCGTGGTCTGGTTTTGCTTTCACAATATTGATGGACTCTAGTCTTTATTCTTCACCACACTCGTAGCCCTTTCCTAGACCAGGACTTCACAAAGCAGCTCTATAGATGTTTTATTTGTTGATTAGTACAGCATGCCTAAGAAAGCTGGCTTTGGTATGAGATGCAAACTGTCAAATTCCTTCAAAATCTGTGAGCCTGTGTGAGATTTAATAAACCTGAGAATTCCCTCCATTCCCCTTTGCAGATATATCACATGTTTTTAATCCCATTCTTGTAACCATGTGTGAGGGGAGGTAGGTTTTGTCTAAATGAGGAGGAATTTGGACAGTTTTTTAGAGGGATCTCCATGTTTCTTATAGAAAGTGTGGTTATGGTGAATATGTCTGCTTTATGTTGCTCCTTCATCCTTAGACATTGCCCCAACAGTACGAAAATCCTTTGATATTTTTGGTATATGAGAATGTTTAAAGGTTCGTCTATCTCAAGAAGCCCGAGACGTTTGTATTAGAATGGTCCTCCACAGAATTACAGTTTTTAAGAAACTATGTGGTATATCTTCCAGATAAATGGGAATCTCTTTTATTTATATCGGGAGCTCAGTAAAATATTTGAATCAGTCTTGTGAGACATACTTAGTAACGAGTTAAGAATATGGCACCTAGTCTCGTTAGGTGGCACACCATCAGGGACCCATCAGCCACAGGGATGGACTCCAGAGTTAGGTTTTAGTACCTTCATCCTTGATTTAGATGATGGAATTAAAAACCTGTTCATTTTAGCCTCTGGTTGGCAGGGCCATTCATGAAGTCAAAAGTAAAGAAAATTAAATCCAAACTAACTGAGAAAAATTAGAGAAAGGGACTGCCTAGACAGGGTAATATTTGATTACACAAATGCAGGAAATATAGATGGGGATTAAAATCTAAACAGGTTGGGACTAGAAACGGTCCTGGATTAAGTTAGACATAAAATAGAAGTCTTGAGACAAATAAAGAGCTGTGCAGGGCCTTGGCAGTGACTCAGCAGCAGAGTGCTGGTACTGAAAATTGTGGCATGATATATTGATATGGGTCGAGGATGCCACGGCAAAACAGAAATAGTCTTGCTGTATTCTGAGTTTCTTATAACCCTTTAGAGTTTCCAGTTTCATTTTGAGTTTTCATTTTCAAGAAAAGAGCAATAAAAGTGAATAGGCTGGCCAGTCAGACCTAAACAGAGGCCTGAGTTTGAGGCATCAACACTGCCTGAGCAGCCCCAGCAGCAGGGAGGGCACCAGAGAGCAGGGGGCTGGGCAGCCTCCTCAGGGGGTCTGCTCCAGCAGGTTTTACTACGGGTATGAGGGGGAAGGGAGTGGTCTTGGCACTGAACTTTTATACATTTGGTTGGGTTTTTTATTGGTGATAAGTTCAATAGAGCTTAATTTCTACAATTTCCTAATTAAATAAAATATATTTTTAATGTGTTATTTATATAAGAGGAGCAGATGACGAGAAAACAAGCTCAAATTAGATATTGGTCAAAAGAAGCAATTTCTAATTGCCTAGGGTCATTATAGCTTCAGCCTCATGTCTCATAACTTCTACTTCTACTTCACCCTCAAGATTATAGAGCAGGGAAGCCCTGGTGACGCAGTGGTTGAGAGTCCGCCTGCCGATGCAGGGGACGTGGGTTCGTGCCCCGGTCCGGGAAGATCCCACATGCCACGGAGTGGCTGCGCCCGTGAACCATGGCCGCTGAGCCTGTGTGTCCGGAGCCTGTGCTCCGCAATGGGAGAGGCCACAACAGTGAGAGGCCCGCATACCGCAAAAAAAAAAAAAGACTATAGAGCAGTCATTGATGTTCAGTGTCCTGAGGTACTTCAAGACCATCAAAGGGAGATAGTTTTCAATAAAAGGTTGAATCAGGATTTTCTGGCTAAACTTCACTTTAATTAGTTAAATTTTAGAAACCCTGTTTTCTTTGAGCATTTTGGTTTATCAAAGATTTAGTGTATAAGGGGGTAAAATGCTGATGAAGGGCAAATTTGAAGGCTTTATTATAAAAAGTGCTAATCAGTCATTCTTCATCTCCAGAGAAGGCAGAATTAGAGGAAATAGGCTTAGTTTGCAGAAGGAGAGATTTAGGGTAGACATAAGGAGGAACTTCCTGATGGTAAGGGTTACTCAAGTTGGAGTACAGCACTGTGGGAAGTGGGTGCGTGTCCATCCCTGTGCACAGTCCCATGACTCATTCTTAGTATAGAAACATTTGATGTTTTCAGGTGTAGGACCTGCCTCCATTTCTCATCTTCCCCCACCCCTCCTGCTCTTTCCCTTCTTTTGGCAGCATTTTATAGGCCTCAAGACAGATCTCTTTCTGACCCATGGGGAAGCCCTTCACCTGCATCTTTGGGATACAGTGCTGTGGAGATAGCTGGGGAGTAGAAAAGGGGGCAGTAAGAAGCAGGCATAAAGTAGCAAATAAAAAAACAGCTGGTAGTAACTATTATCTTGGTAATGTCTCTTTAATAGAATTTTTAGAAATTCCTCCTTTCAACAAGCAATACACAGAATCCCAGCTTCGAGCAGGAGCTGGCTATATTCTCGAAGACTTCAATGAAGCCCAGGTGAGGAGTTTCTTTGTGTAGATTCCCAAAGGGGCAGTGATGAGAAGAGTCCACTTGCTGTACCGAGAAGGCTGATAGGGGCCGGGGACGATGGATACAGTTGCTAGAGATTTCAGGAACTGGGAAACTGCCAAAACATTGTCGCATGAAACAGAATTTTTACTGTGTACAAGGAAGAGAAGTTAGAACCTTGGGTTACTTAATAGCTGTGGTTCTGTTGCTGGGACAAAAGCAGATTAAAATTGGTGTTTAATAGCAATCCCTGTTACAGTGTTGGCCAAATACTTGGGGTTTGGTTGTCCCTTGAGGATTTAAGCCCCCAGAAAGCTGCAGGTGAGGCAGGGGGATTATCTAGGGAAGCTACTTGGGCTTTTTAGTGAGAGAACAGGCCTTGAGCAGAAGGACAGACTCAGTCACATTTTGGATAGTATATGGAAGTGTTCAGATCTGTTCCCTATGACTCATTAAGGCTACTATTCAGGGGCTTTCCCTAGAAGTCACTAGACCCATGGGTGCCGTTCCTTTTCTTCCAGTGTAATACAGCCTACCAGTGTCTCCTAATTGCGGATCAGCATTGTCGAACCCGGAAGTACTTCCTGTGCCTTGCCAGTGGGATTCCTTGTGTGTCTCATGTCTGGGTCCATGATAGTTGCCATGCCAACCAGCTCCAGAATTACCGCAATTATCTGCTGCCAGCTGGGTACAGCCTCGAGGAGCAAAAAATTCTGGATTGGTGAGTAGCTGAGAGCCCATCTAGAACGGCAGACAGGAAGACAGCAAGCTTCCAGAGGGGGAGAATCTAGGAGAGTAAATATTTCTAGAAACTAGAATGATCATAGGATAAATTACAGAATTTCAGTGGGTTTGAGATTATTTTAGCAGTTCATCTAGTTTATTATCCTAGAGTATATTGGTTAGGGACCTTTTGAAAATGTGTGAGATTTTCATGTAGATTCAATATTCTCAACTTGTTTTAAGCAACACGTTTAAAAATACAGGCTCAGGAGCATGATTTGGCTTAAACTTGGCCTCAGGATAAACATGGAAATCAGAAGGGGTAGATGAGAAGGTCAGGATCTCAGAAAATACACATCATTCAGAGAAAGAGGGAAGGGGCGGGGGGTGATACCCTAACGCAGGGCTATTGAAAGCAGTCAGCTGTACCTGCGTCCCTTTGCAGAAAGGCTGTCATTGGATATTATCTGTTGTGCTGTTCCTCTGACTCCTTCGTAGGCAACCCCGTGAAAACCCTTTCCAGAATCTGAAGGTACTCTTGGTATCAGACCAACAGCAGAACTTCCTGGAGCTCTGGTCTGAGATCCTCATGACTGGGGGGGCAGCCTCTGTGAAGCAGCACCATTCAAGTGCCCATAACAAAGGTACCTGAAAAGTTTGTGTGTGTTGTTATTGCTCCAAGGATGTCCATGACCCGTAGCACTTAGGCCTTGTGGTCTAAGTCTCAGTCTTGATAGGCTGACCTTACCCGTGTTTCTAAGAGAAGAAAAGTACCACCTTCAAGAGGTGAGCCAACATGAGTGACGCACCGGGCTGTTTATGCTTCTCCTGGTGTCCACCGGTATACCTGCTAAACTCAAGGCCAGCACATAGTGATTGTGACTTTTCACTTTTGGTTGTGATCACTGGCACTGTGTTTGACATGAAGGGCTTTAGTTTGGGCAGAGCGGGATATACTGGTGAGAAGGCTCATCTGTCTTTTAACTGGAGGACTAAATTGAGTCTCCTTTCCTCACTCACCTTCCCCTGCTTCCTGCAGATATTGCTTTAGGGGTATTTGATGTGGTGGTGACGGACCCCTCGTGCCCAGCCTCGGTGCTGAAGTGTGCTGAAGCATTGCAGCTGCCTGTGGTGTCACAAGAGTGGGTGATCCAGTGCCTCATTGTTGGGCAAAGAATTGGATTCAAGCAGCATCCAAAATATAAACACGATTATGTTTCTCACTAAGGATACTCGGTCTTACCGGTTTTATTCCCTGGTGTTGTGGAGACTGTGTTTTAACCAGGTTTTAAATGTGTCTTGTGTGTAACCGGATTCCTTGCATGGATCTTGTATATACTTTTATTTGCTGGACTTTTATGATAAAATAAATGTTGAATCTCTGGTTGTAGTAACTGGGATTTCTTCATCCATTTCTTTGAGCTTAATCTCAACAAATAGCAAGACAAACATAGTACCTTCTCTGCAGTTTTCAATGGGCTTGTTCACTGTAGAAGGACAGCTAGCCAAGGAAAATAACAAGGAGTGAATTTTTTTTAAAGTTTTCTGTGGTACCATTGTCTGTCAAAAGATTAACCTGGGCTGTCTAAAATTCTGCACTTTCAAAAACCTGATTTTACAACAGGCCCAGATTTATAGTTGTGGCAGAAGTTGAGTGGAATTGGGCACAGCTCTTAGTTTTCTGTCAATGAAAAAAAAAGTCTCTCTTTAGAGTTGAGCTCACTAACAGCTGACCTGTGGGTACTGTATGCTCAGCCAAAAGGGTAAAGGACCAATTGTTGTGAATGGGTGGTGACTATAAACGACGACTTGCTGCAAGGATATAAACATGAGAAACAGTGATAACACTTGGAAATGTTTGTTAGAAGCTCTAGCCAGAGGTCCAAAATTTTATTACGGTTACTGTTACAGTTGCTGGAAGCTGTTCCTTCTGTACTCCTAGCATCATCCCTGTTGATGTCCTCTCATTCTCTAAAGTGGGCTTAAATATCTTTTTTTTCTTCCAGATAGACAGTAAATATTTTAGGCTTTTTTGGCCATTTGGTGTGCCACAACTACTTATCTTTGCTACGACAGCATGAAAGCAACTGTAGACAATAGGTAAGCAAATGAGTGTGACTGTGTCCCAATAAAACTTTATTTTACAAAAACAGGTGGCTGGCCATAGTTTGCTAACCTCTGCTCCAGAGGAAGCAGTGGAAGGGGGTCATCTTTAGCTGGCAATTACAGGGAATAAGGGTGTATAGTATGTGGTGGAAGATATAGAGATGAGGACCAGATTGAGTGGCTACACACTGAGGCCAGCATGCTGCATTCTTTTTCAGTTTGGAGGGGGTTATTCAATGAATATTTCGGTTCACACTGATATGAAGATTGATGGTTATCAGTGATGGTTGAGCCAGATTACTCCTGTGGTCCTTCTAAGTGGGATAATTAGACCTGCATCTTTCACTATTCGAAATCTAACAATTTTTTTTCTTAAGGACCTTTTTTCTTTGTTAAAAAATACTTTGAATACATTGTCAATAGCCAGAATTATTACCCTCTTACCAATCTGAAATAATTGGAAGTTACTGGTAAAATTCTTCAGATTCACAGTTTTGAAGATCCTTAAGGATAGGAGATGCTCAGTTTTAATTTCTGAAAGAGGAAAGGAGGTCTGTGGGGTGTGGGGAAGCCTGTCTTACCTGGTGCCTTTCTTGCTCAGTGGTAACAGCCAGAATTTGACTTATTAATAAATGTAATTCCTTTTTCACATGAGCCATTTAACGTTCTGATCTGTATAGCTTACTGCTGTGTCTCTTCCAGTTTGAACAGTACCTAGGCATATAGGTGCTCAGTAAATGAACATATCCGACAAATGTTCTCAATGTAACAGATCCTGCATGGTCAGCAGAGGGAGGGCTGACGCCACAAGTCCTCCTTGGTGGATGGGTTAAGAACTCCCCTAAGGTGGGGCAGGTGCCCCTTCCACATGGGAAGGAGGGGGGAGGATTTGTATCCATGGATGTTCAATAACTGCTTCTAGGAGAAAAGGTAGAGCTTTTCCAGTAGCTGCAGACATACAGTGTCTGGCCAGAGAATGGGATGTTTGTTTTGAATCTTCTGTTACAACGCAGGGGATTGACTGACTTAGTTTGTGGACCAGAAATTCTCACATCCCGAAACTGCAAAAGAAAAAAAAGAATTGCATCAAAATATCATGCTTTCCCAAGATTTTCTTCAAAGAAATATGAATCAGGGCAACCTGTGATCTAGATAATCTCATCTTAAAATTCTTCTTGCTAATAAAATCACTTAGGAGAAATCTGCTTGACATTTCAGAGAGAGAAAGCAGAATAATAAATTGCTTTTTTGAATGGGACAGACCTCAGAGAAGACATCTACCACTGAGTCTCACTATTAGATTTTTAAAAAGTTTGGAGTTAGAAGGAGCAGTCCCCTCCTTTCAGAGGCAAGAAGCTGGGGGGCAGGGAGGCTGGGGTGGGGGATGCTAAGGCTGCACAGCCGGTTCGCGTCACGCTAGGGACTGACGCCCTGCCTCAGCGCCAGGAGTGTTGTTTCTTTACTCTGATGACTTTGACTGCAAAATAATCTTCACTGATGATCAGACACAGCCCTTTCTCTCGCTGAGCCTTACTTTGCTTGTTTATAAAAGGAGGGTATTTGGACTAGATGATGGCTAAAGTCTCCTTCCAGCTCTGGAATTCTGCAACTCGTTACAAAGCCACACACACACAGTCCACTGAGTGCCCCAAAGGCAGTTGTTCCTACCTGCCCAGGGTGCCACCAGCCTGGGTGTAATATTTGTTATAATCTAGTCGTAACAGTAGTTGAGCCAAATCCGAGTTGATCTGATGATTGCGAACACTGGAGAGAATCTTGAATAGGAGTGAAGACTGGCGGCTAAAACCCTGAAGAGAGAAGGACTCAAGCTGTCATTCCTCTTAGACTTACCAGCTATCCATGTGGAGTGAAGGGGCAGGGGAGATTCCTTGGAAAAGTCTTGCTGAAAATTCCACAGTACCAACTGGCCTTCCCCATTCCCATTTCTATTAGCTCCTAAAATGACTTCTTCATACCGAGTCCATAGAATGCATGACTTCCTATGAAAGTACTCTCATACTCAGTAGGAATTTAGCAGCCAGCTTCAAATTAATATATTCTGCTGTGTACTGGGGTTGGGGAGAGCCTGTGTTTCCGTTACAGGCAGATAATTATAATCTCAGTGAAACAGAGGGTTAGTTCAAGGAAGTAAGGAGGTT